GTTGGGGAGGTGGAGAAGCTGCTATGAGAGCACAGGGCAGGAATAATGACCTAGCTGGTGAGTCAGGGAAGGAGAAGACTGGAACTCTATAGTGGTGGTAGGCAGAATCCTAAAATGACCCCAATCCTCAGATGCCCTTGTGTAATCCCCTCCCAGTGTGTAGGCAGGGACTGAGACTTGCTTCTTACCCACAGACTATGCAAAGGTGAAGGGACTTTGCAGAAGTAATCAAAGACCCTAAACAGCTAACTTTAACCAAAAGAGAGATTATCCTGGGTGGGCCTAACCTAGTCAAGCAGGCCCTTTAAAAAGGGGTCTAGAATCAGAGACTTGGCGATGTGGAAATGCTCTCTCCACTGCTGGTCTTGAAGAAGCAAGCCTCGTATATTCTACGGCTACAAGGTAAGTGAATTCTGCCGACAATAGGAGGAAGCTTAGGGATGGACTCTTCCCCAGTCAAGATTCCAGGTGAATGCAACCCGGCCCACACCTTGATCTCAGCCTGGCGGAACCCGAGCAGAGGAGTAGCCGGGCCATGCCCAGACACCTGCTCCATGAAACCCGTGAGAGTGAATGCATATCATTGTAAGTCACTAAGTTTGTGATGACTTTTTATGCAGAAATAACCTACTAGCCTGGTAGGCTAGATAGGACTAACTTATGACGTCTTCCTGGAGAAGGAAGGCTTTTAGCATTGAGGGTTTCAACCAGCCTTGTTGACTAAGGAGACCCACACTGAGTTTTCTGTGTCCTCCCTGTGAAACTCAGGCCAAGTTCACATGTAATAAACGAGGTCTCCCTACCAACCTCCTGAAGCGTCCCTGTCTCGTACCCAATGTCAGTATCTACTGGTGTTAGATTTAAGGATACAGGATGTACACACTCTCCCTACTACTGTAAATGTACTGCACTCTATGCAAATAAGGGTGATAATGACAAACTCCATAAAACTATTTTTTCAAGTAGGGTTCCAGTTGCTTCATTTTCATTCGTTTAACCAATCAGTGGTCTACAGAACACTTGCTATGTGCCTAGACCGTGAAAGAATGAGGGAGAACTGATACCTGTTTCCACCCTTTGGGGAGTTTGAGAGTGAAGCCGCAAAAAAGTTAGAAAAAGTTGAATGATGAAATGCTAAGCTCTAAAAGTGGGGCGTACATGCATGCTCAGTCATGTCCAACTCGTTGCAACCCCATGGTCTGTAGCCTGGCAGGCTCCTCTGTCCATGGGGTTTTCTAGGCAAGAATACCAGCGTGGGTAGGGAGAAGAAAGTAATTGCTGACTGCCAAGGAATAACGAGAACAATGTGTTTAATTTCAGGGGCCCCTCCCTCCAGAAAAAGGAAAGCCTTAGGAATATTCTTAGCTTCCCGTTGAATGAGTGCATCCAACAGGAGTTTATGATCTGTGGGCAAAGCAAATACAAATCTTGCTTATACAGAACTTTGAAACAATTTTTCAAACATTGAGCTAAAACTGTAAGATTCAACCAGTGTCTTAATTTACTCAATAAGAGTTTTCTAAACACCTACTATATTAAGTGCTGTGCCAAGAATCGAAAATATAGTGGTATGTTTGTGAGAATGTTTCAAATGATAAAAAACAGAAGACACTATTCAAATAGCTTAAACAATAAACAGACTTATCTCACCAACAAAGGAATTCTGAGAAAATCAGTTCCAAGATGGGTTAACTTAGGAGCTCATCAACATAATTAAGGATCCAGGTTTTTAGTTTTTCATTCTCTTTTCCTCAAAACAATGGCTTATTCTTAGCTGGTTTTCCTCATGGTCACAAGATAGCTGCCACTGTTCCAGGCGCAGCTTCATAATACTGTCTAGGGGAAAAATAAGGACTGTGTCTTGTTTCTTCCCATGTGTGTTTTTTTTAATCAGCAGGGGAAATAATCTTGCCCAGAAATCCTCAGCACCTTTCTCGTAATGCCTTATTAGCTAGAATTCTATCTCACACTTGTGCCTGAACCAGTCAGAGCACCACTCCTCGGGGCAGTTTTGGGAGTTTCTCTCTCCTGAGGCACTTGTCCTCCAGAGAGTGGAGACTTGAACAGAATGGGGGTTCTACCAAAGGGAAAATGGGGAAGGAAGGGTGGTTGAGAAGGTCATCTACTAATAGTATCGATGACTATTGTAATACAAATTATGACAAACACCGTGACCCAAGAGGACTGTGCGCTGTGAGAGAGAGAAAGGGTGAACACAGGAAGGTCACGGATCAAGAAAGGCCTTCCCGAGGGAGTGAAAGACGGGTCAGAACCGAACCAGCTGGGCAGAGGGTTGCAGGAAGAGCGTTCCAAGACGTTGCATGGAAACACTGGGAAGGGGTGAGGGAGGGACGGATGGGAAATAGTGTGGCAGGGATTGGCGGGGAGGGGGCGCGGTGTGTAGAGAGGATCCTTCCTGCACCATGGGAAGGAGTTTGGTTTGTATCCTAAGAGTAATAACTAAGGCACTGAAGGTTTTAAAGCAGGGGCATGATGTGGGCCACCCTCTATTTTTAAAAGATTAGTCTGTTGACCCTCCCTCCCACCTCCCACCCCACCCCTCTAGATTGTCGCAGAGTACCAGGTTGAGCTCCCTGCACTATACAGCACTTCCCATTAGCTGTCTATTTCACACATGGTAATGTACATATTTCAATGGGAGGAAACGTGTATACCTATGGCTGACTCATGTTGATGTATGGCAGAAGCCAACACAACACTGTAAAGCAATCATCCTTATTTCTTTAAAAAGAAATAAATTATAAAGATATAAAGTGTTTATGCTGTGAAAAAGAATTAGTTTGGCTACTCTGTAGCGAATAGATGGATGCGTGACAAGAGGTTAGACAATACGTTCATCCACAGGCTCATGGTGGGGACGGGGGAAACTGGACAGAAATGAGTGTGCATGGCATTGCTGGGTCTCTGGGGGGAATCAAGGATGGGGCAGTCTGTTTGAGGAGCTAAGACACACATGCACACACTTTACTCCTGTGAGAGTGACTGAGAGACACGTGGGAGTTCAGGAGAAGGTGAGGTCACGGGTTTAGGGGCTTAAGACTGGGCCTGAATTCAGCACAGCTTCTGGAGAAAGTGGATATTTGAGCAGGGCACCCATGTCTGTGCAAGGTGGGTTTGAAGGAGCAGACACTGGGAAGCACAGAGAGGCAGGAAATGAAGACCCAGGGGGAAAGAGGAGCAAGTGGTAGGGTTTGTAGGGGCCTGTGAAGGACATTCTGGGAAAATAAGACTGGGAAACTCATAGGCATCAGCTTCCAGAGAGTTTTGTGTGGCAGACTCAGATAACAGTGTGAAAAGAAAACTTAAAGTCTAGCCTAGTTACAAAACCACTTGGTTTTCCTAGGAATAATCAATGTGCTGATTGAGTTGTACTTTTTCACCAGGTGGAATAGCAGTATCTCTCCCTGCCTGCCATCACTGCTATCGGCCGGTCATTTGTCAAGGATCTCTAACTTCTTTTTGGAATATATCCCTTCATCATGTATTGAGTGTGTTCCCAGTCTAGGAGCTGGGAATCCCAGAATTGAAAATGCATGGGCCCAGCTATTCAGGAGTCTAAGAGCTTGGGCAAATGAAAAGAGAAATGGCAACAAATACAATTGTTTGGGAAGAGGTGGTACAAAGGAGGGGGGAGTCTCTGCTATCTGGAATGTGGAACTAGATTTCAGGCAAGTGGTGATATTTCACTGGGCCTTCAGGGATGAGTAGGAGTTGGCCAGACAAAGTGAGATAGGGAGACCTTCCAAACACAGGGCATGCTTCCTACAAAAGTGCACACACACCTTCCCAATTCTCTCATCTTCAATCCTACAAGCCTTATAGCATGGACATTTTTAAATTTTATTTTTGGGCTCTTAGGGGAAGTTTGGTGATACCTGGCAGGTGCTTTCAGTAATGACAGAGCAAGTGTTGCTATCTAAGCATTTGACCCTCAGAATTGCATTTTACCTTTACTCTGGAGTGTGATTAACAAGCTCAGGATTTTAATAAATCAAATTCGTTATACCCTCTCCTCCCAATTATCTTACTGATTTTTCTATTTTCTCAGGGCAGCAGGGAAGGAGTTGTAAATCTGTGTTTTAGGGGACTAGTAAATAGATCAGTCATCAATGAGAACCCTTGTCTCTTCAGTTTTTCACAGAAGGATAGGAGAAGTCATTCGCTGTCATATTTGGCTCCTAGTTTTGCCATTTGCAGGAGATTGGTCCCCACTGAGCTTCCTGAGTGTTCACAAAAGTACCTCAGACCCAGATGGACACCCAAGACTGTCCTGCTCAGGAATCTGATCGCCAATTTTACCCCGAGATAAAGAACCAAATACATCAAGACTGTCTGTGAGGGTGTGAAAAGTGTTGGTCGCTCAGTCATGTCCAACCCCTCGCCACCCCATGGACTGCAGCCCACCAGGAACCTCTGTCCATGGAATTTTTCAGGCAGGAAGACTGGAGTGGGTTGCCATTTCCTACTCCAACGAGGGTGTGAGGAAGTGAGCAAAGAATTCATTCTAGACTGAATAGAACTCTTCTGTAACCCAACACCCTCGCTGGACAGGCAGCCAGAAGTCACCTTGAACCTGGGGTCAGAGCCCTGGCCAAAAGCTGCTGCCCCCGCAGAGCGCAGAGAGGGGTGGGAGCCGGAGGGGAGGAGCTGGGGGACAGAGCAGAAGCATTTTGGGGAACTGCGGCCTCGGGGGCAGTATCTGATGTACTTCCTCTCTCCTCCACACTCCGCCCCGCTTGCCCTCTCGCTCCTTCTCTTTCCTTTTCTCTCACAGAACTGACTGCTCTGTGCGTCAGTTGCCAAAACGTGGGGACACTTCCTGCCACCTTTGCAACACCGAGAAGTTGTCTTCAGGAGCCTGAGCCCCAGTCTGAGCTCCAGGCCAGGAAAGTGAAGGCGGGTGGGGGTGGCCTGGCTGGGGAGACACGGGCTTGCCCTCTCCCGGGTCTCCAGGCAGTCCTCCCGGTTTGCACCTGACCATGTCCCTGGCCGAGGCCATCAGCCTCTGGAATGAAGGGGTGCTGGCAGCCGACAAGAAGGACTGGAAGGGAGCCCTGGACGCCTTCACCGGGGTACAGGACCCCCACTCCAGGATCTGCTTCAATGTGGGCTGCATACACACGATTTTGGGGAACCTGCTGGAGGCGGAGAAGGTGAGTGGAGGTATCTCTGCCCCCGCCTCCCCCGGGGCCTTTGTATTAACTGGTTCTCAGCCCAGACAGCACTTTAGAACCCTCTCAGGAGCTTCAGAAGAACAAAGGCTGCCCCGGCCCCACCCCCCCCCAGCAATTCTGATTCAATTGGCCGGCGGAGCAGCCTGGGCAGCCATGCTTTGAAAACCTCCCCAGGTGGTTCTAACAGGCAGTCCCGCTGGAAACTGTTCGCTGAGGGTTTTGTTCTCCTTTATTCTCCATCGATTACATTCAAATCATTCTGGAAACTTTCCTTAACACATTTGAAAGCCCCCCTTAGTTATGTTTTCCTTTATTGACTGCTAGCCACAGAATCTCCCTCTTACTGCTTCACGTCTGATTTCCAAGAACCTCTTTTGGCTTTCTAAGACCTTCCTGTGAGTGAGCTCTCCTTGCCCAAGAGATCTAGAGGAGGCATTTAAGAAAAATAGGTTTCCCCTCAAGGGACAATTCTGATCCATTGTGAGGGACACTCTACAAAGGAGTCTGCGGCTGGTGGAAGGAATGCAGACGGTGATTGATTAATGATGTCTACTGAAGACAGGTGTTGTTCAGTCTGACTCTGAGACCCCATGGACTACAGCACACCCAGCTTTCCTGTCCTTCACCATCTCCAGGAGCTTGCTCAAACTCATGTCCATTGAGTCGGTGATGCCATCCAACCATCTCATCTCTGTCATCCCCTTTTCCTGCCTTATATCTTTCTCAGCATCAAGGTCTTTTCCAATGAACCAGCTCTTCGAATCAGGTGGTCCAAGCATTGGAGCTTCAGCTTCAGCATCAGTCCTTCCAATGAATCTTCAGGGTTGATTTCCTTTAGGATTGACTGGTTTGATATCCTTGCTGTCCAAGGGACTATTAGGAGACTTTTCTAGCACAACAGTTTGGAAGCATGGATTCTTCAGTGCTCAGCCTTCTTTATGGTCCAACTCTCACATCCATATATGACTACTGGAAAAAGCATAGCTTTGACTATACGAACCTTTGTCAGCAAAGTAGTGTCTCTGCTTTTTAATATGATGTCTAGGTTTGTCATAGCTTTTCTTCCAAGGAGCAAGTGTCTTTTAATTTCATGGCTGCAGTCACCATCTGCAGTGATTTTAGGACAGGTGTGGAATGTCATATTTCTCCACTGTTTTTCTCTCTTTTTCATATTCCCTACTATGGGGTTGAGCATTCCCAACAATCACTTTTTCGTATTGGTCACGGTAAACTGGAAAGGGTATGACTTTTGGATCAAACCCCAGCTCTGCCTCTCTCTGGGCTTTTTGGTCTTGGGAAGTCACAGACTTCGGGCTTTCAGCTTCTGGAGAGGTTAAGCATCTTGATGATAAGTGAGGCATGAACTATTTTTTTAAGTTAGTTTTTATTGGAATATAGTTGATTTAAAATGTTGTGTTAGTTTCAGGTATACAATGATGTAAATCAGTTATATATGTGTATATACATACATATATATATATATATATATATATATATATATATATATACCCACTCTTTTTTAGGTTCTTTTCCCATAAAGGGGGCATAGACTATTCAAGTACTGCGTAACTTCACACCACTGTGTAAATGTTAGTCCTTATTTTTACTTTCACTGCAAGTCTTTGCAAGGTGGTGTGGCTAGATGACTGACTCCCCAGCACCTTGAAGGGGGCCCCCACAGCCATCCTCGCCCTGGCGAAGAGGGAGAGAGCGAAGCTTTGTGGAATACCCGCACAGCCTCAGGCTGCAGAGTGGGCAGATGGGAGCACGGGAGGACCCTCTACATCTCACTGGAGGGAAGACAGCGGCCCCCGCCTCCTCTGGGGGTGCTGCCGCCCAAGGACTGAGCAAACGAACTGCAGATCTCAGGGGCTGTTAGAAACAAAGCATGCACTGTCAGGAGGAGCGGCCGGCATGCCAGGCGGAGGGCCTGAGTGCAGCTCGGCCAGCAGGGGATGCAGACTCCGGCCTCTCGGGTCTCCTGGGCGAGGCTGTGGTGCCCTGCTCACCTCCCAGCCGGCCCACTCCCCTGTCCCTCCTTCCTCCCACTGCTCTAGGCTTCACTTTGCTTTCTTCTGCTCTGGAATCTCATTTTCACTGCCTTTCTTTGGCTTTATGTGTGAGTCCTCGCTCCTGGCATTTTAAATGCATTATTATTGTTGTTATTTTAAAATCGTAAGAGATTTCAGAACAGTGAACAAAATGGCAATAGGAACACACAGATGGATAATGATCTTAGTTGTGTAACATCCCTATAATAAATTTATAAAATAAATGCTGTAGATAATATTCTAATCAGGTTATATTCAAACGTGATGACTTTTATTAACCCTGTTAGTAATCATGAAGGGAGATATGCATATCCCCATTTTATGGAGGAGAAAACTAAAGTTCAAGGAGATTGGGCAGCCTGTCTCATGCCAGGCGGCTAGGAAGTGACAACACCAAGTACTCTGACCCCTAAGCCTCTTGTCATCTCCAAGACATCAACGGTTTTCCGGACCCTGCCTGCCTGCCTCACCCACTGGCTCATCTCACACCTACTTACTGCCTGACTGTTCCCTCCGCAGGCCTTCACCAAAAGCATAAACCGAGACAAGCACTTGGCGGTGTCCTACTTCCAACGAGGGATGCTCTATTACCAGATGGAGAAGTAAGTGGTCCAGTGTTGCACAAGCTGGGGAAATGTGCAGAGAAACCCAGAGCGGGTCTTGGTGCTGCCAGACGTGGTGTTTGAGACGTGTCTGCTCAGCCTCTGCGGGGAGGCGTGCCTGGGCTTTCTCTGGGCAGTTACGCAACCAGCACGAGGCAGAAGCCCTCTCTGGTGGGGGGGAGGCAGGCCCAGCTACAACTCACCATAAGGCTGCAGAAGCATCACAGGCTGGGGATGGCACCCCACCTTTTCCTGAAAGGTCACAGCCTGGGCGGTTCTGGTTCTAAATACTGCAGCCATCAAGGGAGCACCCATGGTTGCCTACTGCTGTGAGGTGGTGAGCTCTCACAGAATGCCAACGATCAGGAAACCACATCAGAACCTTTCTTCCTTTGGTGGGCCACTCGTCAGGACTGCGCACTCTCCCTGCTGAGGACCTGGGTTCAATCCCAGGTCAGAGAACTAAGATCCCACAGGTCACATGGGCGTGGCCAATAAATAAATAAAAGCTTCCTAGGTGATTGACTTAGATCTGGTTTAACAAAAAAAATACATTCCTGCAGAATGTATTTTCCAAAACCCAGTTTAATGCATTCAGTGAGATATAATTCAGTCACTAAAATGAGAACATAAACAATTAATATTGTATGTACCAGAATATATTAACACAGATGAGTAGTGGAGTAGTGTTTGTCTTACTATAGAAAGAAGTTCACAATAGATACTAAATTTAAAACATTTCAAAATAGTATCACACAATCCCATTACCATTTCGCAGAATAGTCTGAAAGGCCATAGACCAAAATGTTTTCAGCAGTCCTCCCCAGCTGGTGAAATTATAGAGATTTCCATCTTCTTCTGTCAGCCTTTCTGTATTTTTGGCGTGTTTATAGTCAACAGGAAATAATTAGTAAAAAGACAAATAGAAAATGAAAGTTAATCTCGAGTCCCACACCCCTCCCCCAAACGCCCTAAAAACATTCAAATAACAAAATATATTCTAAGCATTCCTTTAAAATGTAGGGAATGGTTAACTGACCTTTCATAGAAATAGTTCTCTGAGTGTGCACAAGTTCCAGAGAAGACGGTTCAGCTCAGGCTAAAGAAGAACAGTTCAAACAGTAACATGTTAGCAGGGGCATGGTGTGTGTGTATGTGCAGGTGTGTGCACAACAGATGAGGAAGGGTGTTGGTGAGATAGAGGGGAGGCTACAGAGAACGTCCAGGCACTGGGGACGGGGTAGGCTGGGCTCTGATCCTCTGGAACCCCGAAAGGCGTTGATCCTCAGATTTAGTCAGAAACCACGCCTGCCAGGCCACCGTGCAGAGCCGTTGCCATGGGCAACCACCAGACACTCAGAGCACTTCCGGGATGTAGATGTGGTCATTCGCCTGAATGAGTTAAGAGCAGCAGTGAAGTCTCCCAAGCAGACACGGAGGCAGTCTGGGAAGGGAAAGCCTTGAATGGAGAGAAGACACACAGGCCTTTACTTTCAGTGGCATCACGCCTGTCTCCCTTTTATCCCTTTTCTCCTTCTCATTGCCCCCTCCCCCCATCCCCACCAGCCTCAGGATATATGGGACCTGTGGGCAGGTCTGAGCACAAATCCTCTCGTAGATCTCTAGAAGGACAAACTCAGGCCATCCGTGAACCACCTCTAACAGCCTAAAATGAGGAGAGACGGATGGCCGAGATGGGAGACTCCCAGAAGACATTTCTCTATGAAATGCCCAGAAATCCCAGAACCTGAAAGCCTCGTGTTTTGAGTGAGTTAAAACAATCTTAGTAAGATCCAGGAATCAGACTCAGGATTCAATCAGTCTGTGACTGGTAATCGTTAAATCTAAGAGAGAAACCTATCAAATTTTATCTTTAATTCAACAACTATTTATTGAGGAAATTACATAAATGAGACATGAGTCTGGGTCCTGAGCTGCCCTTTTTTTCTTTTGCTCGATCCATAGGCTTTGGTGTCCTCCCCTCCACAAGATTCAGCTCTGTTTTAAAATTTTTGTTTCTTTTTGGTTGTGCTGGGTCTTTGTTGCTGTGTGCAGACTTTCTCTGACTGCAGCAAGCAGGAGCTATTCTTCATTGCAGTGTGTGGGCTGCTCATTGCAGTGGCTTCCCTTATTGTGGAGCATGGGCTCTTGGGCACGCGAGCTTCAGTGGTCGTGGCTTCTGAGCTCGAGAGCACAGGCTCAGTAGTTGTGACGCAAGGGCTTCGTTGCCCTCAGCATGTGGAATCTTCCTGGACCTGGGATCAAACCCATGTCCCCTGCATTGGCCAGTGGATACTTAACCACTAGACCACCAGGAAAGTCCAAGGTTCAGCTCTTGATGCTTTGTCCTTTTTCACTTGTTGTTAAATAGCAAAGTATATGGGCAATCTTCCCAGAAAAACACATACAAGCACATGCTTAATTTTATGTGCAATTTCAGGGGGTTAGTGTCCCCTGAAAATCATACATGAAGCCTCTCCCTCCCTTCCAGCACCACGCTGGTTTAGACTTCACTTCTTCACCAGGACTACTGTACCATGACTTCCAAACTGATTCCTTAGCCACCACTCTTGCCTGCTCCAATGATATCTTAGAATGATCTTTTTTGAAAAAGAAATGTGATCTGCTGAAGAACCTTCAGTGGATCCCAGGATAAAGAGGAGCTTCCCTTGCCTGTTGCTCTCTGGTTCAGCCGCTGTCTGCCCACTTACATCCGCCAATGTCTGCCCTAAGCACACTCACCCAGGTGACTACCCTCTTTTGTGCCTCCTTTAATCACAGCTGTCTCTTCAATGACAGATACTTGCTTGTATATTTGTCTCCTCCAGTACGCGTGAGGCAAGAATACTTATTCACTCTTATATTTCAGTATCTAGTACAGTATTAATAAATTCTCATGGGAGTAAATAAACAAGGGGGTGAAATATAGCCTCTGCTTCTAGTAACTTAGAGGGTTTCCTTGGTGGCTCAGATGGTAAAGAATCTGCCTGCAATTCAGGAGACCTGGGTTCGATCCCTGGGTCAGGAAGATCCCTTGAAGGAGGGTATGGCAACCTACTCCAGTGTTCTGGCCTGGAGAATTTCGTGGACTGAGGAGCCTGGCAGGCTATAGTCCATGGGGTTGCAAAGAATCAGACACAACTGAGCAACTAACCCTTCACACTTTCAAGGAACTTGCGTATTAAAAAGGGGAAGCAGGTCACAAACACTAGGACTATTATGCAGGGCAGAATGGGGCAAGTGCTATGGGCGATGTTTTTAGATAAGTGCCTATGTGGACCTAGAACTATCGCTTCTCAGTGATGGGTTAGGATGACCTTCAGATTACTACAGGGTTTGTTTTAAGGTGCCAATAATGGCTGTTTCTTCTTTCAGGTTTTCTCACTTTCAGATGTTGTTGGGTTGCTCCTCTGTCATAAATTTTCACCAGAATAAAGTTAGAGTTGTTCTGCCCAGGCAAGTCAGGTCTGAGGGATGTCTCATCTCTCTAACCCCCACCCTGTCATCCAAAAGGAGATGGGATCTCAAGGTATGTTTCAGATCCCAACCTTATAAATCTTGCATGTATACGTGCTCAGTCGTGTCAGATCCGTTGTGACCCTATGGACTGTAGCCCACTGTAAGCTCCTCTCTACATGGGATTGGATTGGATGTGGATTGCCATCCAGGGGATCTTCCTGACCGGGGATTGAACCAGTGGCTCCTGCATTGCAGGCAGATTCTTTACCATCTGAGTCACCTGGGCAGCCCCTTATACATTTTAGGGCCCAGAAAATATGGCCAGACCCTTTAGATGGAGCTGCTCAAAGAGGCAACGCAGCAAAGTCTTTTCTCTGACTTCTGAAACGGGCAAGGGCATGGCCCCAGGCTCTGGCATGGAGGTGTGTGATGCTTCAACTCCTTTCGGCTGGTTCAGTCTCTCTCCATTACCCAAGTGTGGACTGCAGCATTCTAGTCTACAGGCGGGCACTGGCAGTGCGGGACTAATTGGGAACTTCAGTGGTTACTAAGGAAAAAAACCTTCCCAGGGAGTGTTACCGAAAGGAGGATAATAAACCCTCCCCGGCTCAGAGCTGGGGAGAAGCACGAGCCGGTCGGCAGTTGTGCTGGTGAGCTGAGAGGACAGCAGGCAGTGACTTACAGACGCGCGCTCAGGTCCCGCCCAGCCGAACCAGGGGAGGAGGCCGGCTCCTGGGCGTCCTTGGACGCTGTGGACTCCAAATGGCATGGGGGAAGGCTCTGGCAGGAGGGCTGGAAAGAGGCAGCGGCTGTGCTGCCTGCCCCCCAGGGCACGGGGCTGAAGGCTATTTTGGATTTTTCACACTGAGCTTTTTCAGGCCCTGGGCAGCGGGAAGCAGAGCTCTGCATCAGAGCACACGCCCCAGGGGAGCTGCTCTGGGTAAACCAGGTGGCTGAGGAGAGGCCTTCAGGGCGATGCTGTCTAAGACGTTTAAAAACAGGCACCTAGCAGGGGTGTTTTAAACACAAAGCAAGCCTTTGAATGACCTCAGTCCTTCCTTTCTCCCTCCTACTGGGCCCGGATAGCAATCTTGCTGGGCAGAATTAGAAGGAGCTGGGCTCACTCAATCCCAGGTAGACCAGCCGGTGTTACTTCACAGCTGAAACTCATCTGCTGAGGGAGGCAGGCACATCCGCAGGTGACTGCAGACAGAGCCTCACGGGCCCTCTGAGGACCTTCCGTGCACTCACACAGGCAGTGGGACACGATGGAAATCCCATCTGCCCAGGAAACGGGACACCTCTTTCCGTGTTTCCACACCCCGCCCCGCTCCATGGCTCAGTGAATCAGAGCCAGTCACCCGCCACGTTCCAGCTTAGAAGGAACAGGAATGCTTCCCCTCTCCCCCTTCAAGGAAATGCCTTAAAGGGTGTATAAATGACGTGAGATGTTTAAGGAATGGCCTGCATGCTTGTGAAAGGTTTGGTTGCCCAGGCAGTAAAGAATCTGCCTGCAATGTGGGAGACCTGGGTTCGATCCCCAGGTCGGGAACATCCCCTAGAGAAGGAAATGGCAACCCATTCCAGTATTCTCGCCTGGAAAACCCCACGGACTGAGGAGCCTGGCAGGCTACAGTCCATGGGCTCGCAAAGAGTTGGATAGGACTGAGCAACTTCACGTATTAAAAAAAGTATGTTAGAGGAAGCCATCCTTCTGTTTCCAGCCCAGGCTGTCTGCTCCCATCATTCCTGTGACTGTGGGAGTCACTTTCAACCAAATGATGACAGAACGTCCAGCGTTCCCCCGGCCACCTTGGGACCTCTCAGCCAAGCCGCCCTCCTGGTCAGCTCCCAGTTTCCCTGACATGAGCATTCTGGCTTCTACAGCCATGTATTTTTAAAAAATGTTTCATTTATTTATTTGTCTGCACCGGGTCCCAATTGTAGGATGTGGGATCTTTGATCTTCACTATGGCATGTAGGATCTTTAGTTGTGGCAAGTGGGATCTAGTTCCCTGACCAGGGATCAAATTCCAGCCTCCTGCATTGGGAGCATGGATTCTTAGCCACTGGACCACCAGGGAAGTCCCAACAGCTGTATTTTTATCTCCTGATAACAGTTAATACAGTATCTAGTATTAAGTAGGCATGTAATACGGGCTTCCCAGGTGACACTAGTGGTAAAGAATCCGTCCGCCAATCCAGGAGACATAACAGATGCGGGTTCCATGCCTGGATCGGGAAGATCCCCCGGAGGAGGGCACAGTAATCCACTCCAGTACACTTGCCTGGAGAATCCCCACGGACAGAGGAGCCTGGCGGGCTTCAGTCTGAGGGGTCACACAGAGTAGGACATGACTGAAGTGACTTAGCATGCACACACGCAAGCATGTAATAGAAGATTGGTATGTGAGTGCCAGGCACCGTCCTAAGCACCTGAATGGTTTGTGCTGCCATTATGCTCTCATACTGAAGATGAGGAAAGAGAGGAATTAAGTAACTTGCTTCTTGCAAAGAGTCGGACATGACTGAGTGACTAAGCATACAGCACACCCCTTTGTCACTAGCTAGTAAGGGGCAGAAGCAGCACTCCAGTCCATGTGGGTTTGACTTCAGAAATCAGATCCAGGACCACATACGAGCAAGCACCTGATGTGCTATGCTCCCTGAATATAACACGTCCCTTGCACACAATGCACTCCTTATAATATCAGTGTGGAGTGAGGCCAGGGAGGCAGTTTGCCAGGGTCTCCCAGTTAGTGGCAGGACTGGTGGGCCTGGTCCCAGTCCCTTGGCCGCTGTCCTCGGGCACCTTCATTACCCACACCACCTCTCAAGGATCCCCACCAGCCTGTGTCCACACTCCAGGCTTGTCTCCAAGAGAAGTGACAAGTGGCAGCTCTGGGTCAGGTGGTGGCCAAGGGACTTTTGGTTTAGTTGCCTGGTGGGAGCCCCACAGACAGGCAAATTTGTTCCTGCCAGACCGGGGGCTGGGCTGGGGCTTGGGTAGCTTGACTTTTGCTGCTTCTATCCCCTGCTGCTCAGCAATGGCTCCCTCGCACCAGGGCCTCTGCGGAGATCAGAGGCAGGCCAAGCAGGCCTGGCCCAGGTCCTGCCCACACCCCAATGGGCACTATTGGTGTGGTCAGCCCTATTCTCTGCTACCAATCCAATGATGGCAGTCCTGATCCACCTGAAGCCAGTCAGCACAACGCCAACCCAATGGAGCTGAAGGCCAGTGCCAGGAGCAGGGCTAGAGGTGCTCTCTGGAGGCTTTGGTGGTCCAGTGGTTAAGAATCTGCCTTGTCATGCAAGGGATGCTGGTTCGATCCTGAGGCTGGGACGATCCCACGTGCCATGGGGCAACCAAACCCGTGTGTCACAGCTACCGAGCCCGTGCTCTAGAGCCTGAGAGCCGCAACTACTGAAACCTGCATGCCTGCAGTCGGTGCTCCAACAAGAGAAGCCACTGCAATGAGAAGCCTGTGCACTGCAGCTAGAGAAAGCCCGTGTGCAGCAACAAAGACCCAGCTCAGCCAAAAATTAAATACACAGAAATCTGAAACATTTTTATTCTTAACTATTTACCAAGAAAAAAAAAGGGCTCTCTGGCTTAAGTGATGGTTTGTCTTTTTACCTAAAGTATGTGGAAGAGGAGGGAGGGGACAGCCACAAACCAAGAGCTAAGTTGGACTCAAAAGAAGCTGAAGCAGGAGGCTCTGGGCAGGAGGCTGACATCAGTGGCCATGACGAAGGGCCCCTGGGAGCTGCATCAGGCTGGCCCTGCCGCTTGGTGGGGAGTGGATCAGCTCCACGGAGACATGGGGGCTGGCAGGTGCTGTTCTGCTTGGAGCTCTCTGGGGAGATCGAGGCTCTTTCAGAAAGTGACAAGCTGGTTGTCAGAAAGGTGGGGGCTGTGTGAAGTCAACGGAGACAGAGATCCCTGTGGTGGCCTGAGACTGGAAGGCCTGCAGTGTTGCTGGGATGCACAACCCCGGGGCGCTGTTCACACCAAGTTCTACGGAATCCTGGGGTCAGGGTTGGCGAAAAACTAGAGCAGGTCAAAAAGGATTGAAAAGACTTCTTGTCCCAGTGAAACAGATGGACGAAAGGAAACAGACACCCACTTCATTCTTTTTTTCCTCCTTTCCCTGAACTGGCTTCTTTCCTGCAGATACGATTCCGCCATTAAAGACCTTAAGGAGGCCTTGACTCAGCTTCGAGGGAACCAGCTGATCGACTACAAGATCCTGGGGCTACAGTTCAAGCTGTTTGCCTGTGAGGTGAGGAGAGGAGGGCCTAGCCTGGGCAGTGGTGGAAGCCTGGGCAGCCGAGGGGAAGCTGACAGCTCAGATGCACAGCCATCTGTTGACACTTCTAGGAGCCCGAGAAGGCATTTTGCCTCCCCTCCCTTGGGACTCAGATTTACCCTTAAGAAAAAACTCAGAATCATTGCTTGGGGCTCCTAATGGAGTCTTCAGTTACCTGAGTGCATGGATTTTGTTAACGTGAGGCCCAAAGGACCATGTAGAAATGAGTTTGCTGGATTCTCTGAAGGGAAGCTTGGCTGAACATGAGTGTGTTGGTCTGTGAAAGTATTTGTGTGTATGTGCGTTAGTTGCTCAGTCGTCTCTGACTCTTTGCAACCCTATGGACTGTAGCTTGCCAGGTTCCTCTGTCCATGGGATTCTCCAGGCAAGAACACTGGAGTGGGTTGCCATTCCCTTCTCCAGGGGATCTTCCCAAGCCAGGGATTGAACCCAGGTCTCCTGCATTGCAGGCAGAGTGTTAACCATCTGAGCCACAGGGAAGCCCAAAAACATTCATCATAATTTGCATGATTCAGGTTGCAGGGTGTTTTCTCAGCATTATATTAACAAATCCAAAATCACAGAGGTCCCTGCCCTAGCGAAGCTTCCTTTGCAGCAAAAACCAAAGCAAATCAAAAGATAACAACAAAACAACAAAATAAACCAAAATCACAGTTTCACTCTCCATGCAGAAACTGCTTTACCCTGGCTTGGTTCCCAAGTTCACACATTTTGAGATGAATGGTGTGGCCTCGTGTACTTGGTTGATACCCAAAGAAAGAGTGAGGATCATTTAGCACCAACCTGTACCCTCCTGGTCAAAGAACAGCTCAGAGCCCACAGTTAGGAAAGGTCTTCACAGAGGGGTAACATGTTCTGTATCACCAAGATGGAGACGCGTGACTGGCTTTGACTTTACAGGTTCATGTACTTTTTCCAACCAACCCTCCCCACTCTCATTCTAAATCCCTAATATACACCAGTAACTTTAAAACTAAAATCCCTTCAAATGTAGATTTTTAGTTGGCAGAATCAGTGAAAGAAAGCCCCTTGCTTGAGTTTCTCAGGCAGAAGCAGCCCAGTGTTCCTAGGGTCACTCAGGGCTAATAATAGAGTCCACAGCTGCCTGCGCCCCTGGGGACACGTGTCTCCATCCAGCCCCGCTGCAGGATAACAACTTCAGTTCTCCTTGTCTAGGGAAATGAGGCTTTTTGGAGGGCTGGCATTTGGCCAGCTTCCAGCGTGTAGTCTCTCAGCTGCGGTCCTTTTGATGTGTTGGACCAGTTCATCCTTTGTTCTTGGGACTGGCCTTTACCTCATAGGATGCTGAGCTACGTCCCTGGCTTCTACTCACTAGATGCCTGTAGCAACCCATTCCCAGGGTGACAATCGAAAATATCTCTAGACATTGCGGATCACCCCTGATTGAGAGTCATTTATGCCAATGAAAGGGTTGAGGGACCAAGAAGCTCTGGAGAAATCATACTAGAATAGTGGCATCAAAGCAGAACTCCATGGGAGGAATGTTCCTCCTGTAGCTGGAGTTGAAATAACCCAGGGGGCAGGAAATACTGGCTGTGCAGGCCTCTCTGCTAGGGATGCTGGACTTTTCAGTGTCCTGTCTGCCACCTGGGACACTCCAGTCACTTCCCTAATTATAAGACCACACATCCCTTCCACCAGAATTCTGAGAAATCATACCAGAAAAAGAGTCTCAGGCTTTTCCCAGTCATGGAGTCATAAAAACCTGTTGCTAGAGAAGGTCATAAGAGTAGGTGTCTGAGAACCAAGCAGAAAGTTTTAAACAGCCTCCAGGTCTCCTTTCTTCCTGCACGCATGTTCATGGGGGAGGATCAGGCCAGTCAAGCATGTTTGCCAGTGGCAATAGCTCACTGAGGCTCAGAAAGAGCCCAGGAAGGGAGTCTAGATCTCCACTTCTGGGCTTGGTCCCTGTCCCCATCGTTCAGCACCAGCCAACTAACTCTGTGGGAAAACCAGCCCTGCCACCATCCATGTTGTTCAGTCGCTCAGTCTTTATGACCCCATGGACTGCAGCATGCCAGGCTTCCCTGTCCTTCACTAGCTCCCAGAGTTTGCTCAAACTCATGTCCATTGAGTCGGTGATGCCATTCAACCATCTCATCCTCTGTCACCCCCTTCACCTCCTTCCCTTAATCTTTCCCAGCATCAGGGTCTTTTCCAATGATCCAATGAGTCAGCTCTTCGCATCAGATGTCAAAGTACTGGAGTTTCAGCTTCCGCATCAATTCTTCCAATCAATCTTTAGGGTTCATTTCCTTTAGGATTGACTGGTTTGATCTCCTTGCTGTCCAAAGGAATCTCAAGAGACTTTTCTAGCACCACAGTTTGAGAGACTTTGGTGTTCAGTCTTCTTTATGGCCCAATTTCACATCCATACTTGCCTTAATAAACAGTTCTCTTCTATTCGGGGTGAGGCCGGGGCCAATCACAGTGTAGGTGGTAGACTGGTACTGAGAAGTGTAATAGTTTTCCACTGTGTGCCAGTTGCTCACTCATGTCCGACTCTCTGCGGCCCCATAGACTGTAGTCCGCCAGGGATTCTCCAGGCAAGAATACTGGAGTGGGTTGCTATTTCCTTCTCCAGTTTTCCACTGCTGAATACCAAATTGCTCTAAAACAGAGTGGCTTAGAACAATCTGGGCTGCCCTGGTGGCTCACCTGGTAAAGAATTTACCTGCAATGCAGGAGACCTGCGTTCTATCCCTGGGTTGGAAAGATCCCCTGGAGAAGGGGATGGCTATCCACTCCAGTGTTCTGCCCTGGAGAATTCCATGGACTATTGTCCATAGGGTCGCAAAGAGTCAGCCACGACTGAGTGACTTTCACTTAAAATGATTCTCTCGCAGTTTCTGGCATCAGTAACCCAAGCTTGGCTGGGTGGTCCTGGCTCAGAGGCTCTCAGGAGGTTGCAGTAGAGATGTTGGTAGGGCTGCCATCATCTGAAAGCCTGACCATGGCTGAAGGATCTACTTCCAAGGTGACTTAGGTACCTGGTGAGTTAGGGTTATTTTTTGGCAGGAGGTCTCAGTTCTTGGCCACTTGACCCTCTCCCTAAGGCTGCCTGAGTCCTGTCATTATATGGTAGCTGGCTTCCCCCAGAGGAGAAATTCCAAATCCAAGAGGAATTGATACAGAGTGTTGATGTCTTTTATAACTTAACCTCAAATGTCACATTATGGAAACCTCTCATTTCCATAATATTCTATTCGCTATACACGTCAGCTCCCTTGGATGTGGAAGGCACTATGCAGGTGGGGAGGTACCAGGAGGTGAGAATCACTGGTGCTATCTTGGAAGCTGGTTGTACTAAAGCAAGGACTTTGGGATCAGAGAGAGAGGGATCAGATCCCAGATCCCAGATCCCAGATCAGATCCCAGCCCAACACTTCCTAGTCTAATAAACCCTGGTGAATTCAGTGTCATTTCTGAGCCTCCGGCTCTTCCTCATCTGTAAAGAAAGTCTGAGTACTTACCCTATACACATTTGCTAACACTTTCATTCATTTTTGCATATGTTTATCATGTCTGATGGGGCTTCCCAGGTGGCTCCGTGGTAGTAAACAATCCACCAACGGAGGAAATGCAGGTTTGATTCCCGGATTGGGAAGATCCCCTGGAAGAGGAAACAGCAACCCACTCCAGTATTCTTGTCTGGAGAATCCCATGGACAGGGGCACCTGGCGGGCTTTAGTCCATGGGGCCACAAACAGTTGGATATGACTGAGCACACACATAATGCCAGCTAGGGTCAGGCATGAGAGGTCCAAGGGGCCACAAGACAAGGTGTCAGCAGCCAAACGTTCATGGTCACGTATAATGTGAGGTGATTGGGTTAGGAGGAGAAAAGTGCTAGGAAAGGATTCTGGAAGCATAGAAGTGAGGCCCCAACTTTGTATGGTGGTTGTGTGGCTTAGAGATAATGCAGATAAAGTGCCTGGCCCATAGTGATGGTCAGTAAATCATAACAATCAATGATGATGATAAAGACGACAGACAGCACTGATTTCCAGGAGCCCTGAGTTCTTCATAGGTTTAGCTTTCTGACTACAAAGAATCCCCAGATGGTATCAGTCAGCAAACTCAGCCCTGTGGTCTTCCCCCAAACCACATGGGCATTGTCACCCTCCCTGAGAAGGCGGGCAAGACCTCTGTGCTCAGCCTCCCAAGCAAGTCCCAAGATAGTTACGCAGATAACAGTGGTGACAGTAATGAAGAGCTCTAAAACCACCACCATGTGCCAAACAATGAAACTCAGTGCTTTACATGAATTCTTCATTTCTTACAAAATCTGTAAGCAGGAAGCATTATTATCATCATTTTATAATGAAACTGAGGCCGCATAGTATAAAATAGCCCTAGGGTCCCTCCACGGCACTACCTCCGTGCGTTACAGCTTAGAAGGCCAACAGTCCCCTTCTCCGACCAGGCCTCGGGTGACTGGCTGTACCTCCTCTCTGGAGCCCCGGAGAACCGCCCACACCCCACCCCAGGGCATCAGGCTGTGACTCCTATCACTTTGACCTGTGAGAAGCCTGCAGCAGTTCCTGGCCATTTAGTCATCCTCCATACATGATGTGAGGAGCCCTAAGAATTGGCTACACTGTCATCAACAAGTAAATTAGGGATTTTCCTGGTGATCCAGTGGTTGAGACTTTGCCTTCTGATGCACGGGGCATTGGTTTGATCCCTGGTTGGGGAGCTAAGAGCTCACATGTCTTGGGGCCAAAAAAAGCCTAAAACAGAAGCAATGTAACAAATTCAATAGAGGCTTTAAAAACTGTTCAAGTGCAAAAAAAAAATCTTAAAAAAAAAAAGTAGAGCAAACCCTGCCTGTTAGTTGCCATCTTGATTTCCTTCCACTCCAGGTGAAGTGTTGCCCTGGGTCTGTACTGGGTCTCTCTCCAGCTTCAGCGAACTCTTGCCCATAGAGTTTCCTCCTGCCCATATGACTACATTACATCCTGTTACTCCTAGGTTCTAGAATGGGTTCTGTGGATGCAGGACGATGCATCTAGAACCCTCTGTCTCTCCATCCCACATCTGTCCAGTCTTTGAGCCCAGGACCAGTGGCAGGAGCTGGTCTAGGAGGCCACAAGCATGTATTTTATCCCCAGCTCTTCAAGGGGCCTTGAACACATCACTGCTGTCCATACCAAAACCACACAACAGCTCTAGCCCACCCGTGACCTACTTGGTTGTTGAAGGAATGCACACGATGCTGGAGTTTTGCATTACATGATGTTTTCTCCACACCATCCTTGTGTTAGATATAACTCACGAGCAATATTGATTGTCCTATATTGTAGATACCTCCAGGAGAGCTGGGAAAGGGAGAAAGGTCACCAGGCAACATTTCAGGAACAAAAAGTGTGCGAGCTTTTCCCTGCCTGGTCCCTAGACTCGGAGCAGCCTCAAGCTTTCTACTGTGGCCTGTGCTTTTCTAGGTGTTATATAACATTGCTTTCATGTACGCCAAGAGAGAGGAATGGAGAAAGGCTGAAGAACATTTAGCGTTGGCTATGAGCATGAAGTCTGAGCCGAGACATTCCAAAATTGACAGAGCCATGGAAAGCGTTTGGGTGAGTGCGCTGGCGAAGCAGGTGGTGAGAGGGTCTGCTTGGGTTCGGGTTTGTTTCTGTGCACACGCCGATTGGGGAGCAAAAATGTGGTGCTTTCACTTCCTCTGAGCTCCGGGTAACAGTGATCTCGGGGGCTGTTTCCCTGTGGGATCTTGAATGTGGAAGTCTAAGAAGCTGAGGCCTAGAGGAAGAGACAGCGGCGCCCTCCTCACGCCCCTCCGAGGGGGCTCTGGTGGGGGTGCGGGGGCAGCATCCAAGGGCAGAGGCTGTGCCCGCTCGCTCACCCCTGGGTTCTCGCAGCCTGGCTCCGGGCCAGGCACATGACAGCTCTCAAGAAAAAATGCATTGATTATAGGAACAAACGATGGGAAGTTGAGTTTGAGCACATGTAGGGATGAAGCTTGTTCTAAATCATATTTTTAAACACCAGGAACAAGGGGGCTTAGGTCAGTCTGTACATATTTGTCCACGGCTGCAGCCCCAAGAGAGCACTGTCGTGGGCCTTGCTCAGGTCCTGGGCCACCCACATCAGGAGCGACAGCCCCACTTGAACCACACAGAATGGGAGAGGGCAGCCCCTCTTGGAAAAGAGGGTGCTGGGCAAACAGCACCCGCAGATGTCTCGGTGTAAGGTGACAGTGAAACCAAACAGTCCTCCCTGACATACTAACATACTAACATACTCCAGCCCTGCACGTGGAGAAAAAGCGCCCTTGTGAGGTTCTCTCAATGGATCCACGCATCTGCTCAGTGAGGGACCAGGGTCGTCACCCCCATTTTACAGGTAGGAAAAGACTGTATTCTCTGTGTTTTAGAAACAGAAGCTCTATGAGCCGGTGGTGATCCCTGTGGGCAGGCTATTTCGGCCGAACGAGAGGCAAGTGGCTCAGCTGGTCAAGAAGGATTACCTAGGCAAGGCCACGGTGAGTGAGGCCGCTCGGAGTCCCCTGAGTCCCCTCTTGCATGAGCCCTGCAGAGTGAGGGTGAGGGGACCCTGGAGGAAGGGGCGCCTGCCTCTGGTTCTGCCCTGGGGAGGCAGCTTCTCACCCGAGGGTCGGCAAGCCCATCCCTAGCCACTGTCCACTTCAAGAACCAAGTCCCTGTGAGAACAGACCCAGGGCACAAGGAAGGAAGGGGTCCTGGGGAGACCCAAGAAGGACGGGCACACGGAGCCGGCACAGCCCTCACACCCCCCTGTCCCAACTCCAGGTCGTGGCGTCTGTGGTAGACCAGGACAGCTTCTCAGGCTTTGCGCCCCTGCAGCCACAGGTGAGGTGGTCCTGCTCTTCTCCGCACGTCTCCAGGGCTGGGAAAGGGCCAACTCGGGCAGAGTGTCTGTGCTGAGGGGCCTCGTTTTCAGGGCTCCTTAAGCTGAGCTCTCGGTCTGCGGAGGGTGTCTGCCGGGCCATGCTTGGTCAGGGATCCCAGAGCTGGAAGGGGAACAAGATCATATCCTTGGGCATCATCTCAAGTCCTCAGGAGCCAGCCCTCCATTTCCCCCTCAAATGCCAGCCTTCGCTTCTCTAAAGTTCCAGGAGAGCTCAGCATGCCTCGTCTCTCCCGAAGCCTTGACCATTCGCTCAGAAAAGTGAAACAACAGCCGTGGAAGGCTTTTGCTCCTTGTCCCTTCTCAGACACAGAACACAGGGGGAGCTCTTCCGGCTGCAGCCATCGGCTGCATGCAGCGATTCCCTCGGGAACATGGGCGGGGGTCCCCAGCATGAACCATCTATCCCCCCAGGCTGGGCTCAGAGACGGTTCCAGATAGACTAGATGCCAGTGGGTCTGGAATGTGAAGGCAGCGCTTCCTTGTGAAGGGAAGCAGGTAGTGCCGCTGAGGACAGCTCCAGCTCTGTGGCAACAGAACCGTTACGGGCAGGGGCGTCGGTCCACGTGAGCACAGCGAGGAGCTTCTGAGTGTGGTGGTCCAGGGTGCACACACCTGGCCACTCTGAGGGCCACTCTGACAGCCTCCCAGGGTCAGAGAGTTGACTGCTGGCCCAGAAGGCGACCAAGGCTGGGGAACCAGAGGCTAAGAGGAATAGAGGAGGAGAGCAAGAGAGGCGAGATTCTTTGATCTCTCTCTTCACCAGAGAGTTGAAGAAAGCCTTGCAGGACTCCCTTGGGCTTTGGGGCACCCAGGGGACTCCCAGTGGGGAAAAAGCCTGGATAACTGGGCTCCACAGTTCTCAGGGTAGAACAGGGATCACACTTCAAAAGGAGATTCTTACCTGACCAGTGGACCTTGAGTTGATTTTTATTTCTTTTTTAAAATTTTTATTAAGCTATAATATACATATCATACAATTAACTTACTTCACTTGCACAACTGAATGAGTTTGGGTATATTTACAGAGTTGTGTAACTATCATCACAGGCATGGAGGTTTTTTTTGGCCACATGGCATGTGGGATCTAGTTCCCTGATCAGGGATCAAACCCTCACCCCCTGCACTGGAAGCACAGAAAGCCACTGGAATGCCAGGGAAGCCCCTTGATTTGGTTTTTAACTACCCACGGATGTCATGTGATAGATGACATTAATTATAGAGCAGTGCTTTGAGAAACTGTCCTAGGAGGGGGACGGAGTTCAAGGGCAGAAGCACCCTCATGACGCCATGTTGCTCTGTGACAGCTAAAACTCCAGAAAACAAGTCTGACTCAAGATGCATTGCTGTGCTGGTGAAATCTGGGCCCAGGGAGCTGGTGGGAGGTGTTCTTTTCCAGTGTTTAGTCAGGGTACACGATTGCCTTCTCCCTCGAGAGTGTTCTAATTGAGCCAGAAATGCAGTCTTCGATGTTCTGGTCTAGAAGGAGGCTTAAATTACTATTAACTGTCTGTTCTCTCTCCCCTCCTTCCCTTGTGATCCTGGCTTCCTTTATTTCTCCTGAATGTCTGATAGGCAGCTGAGCCTCCACCCAGGCCGAAAACCCCAGAGATCTTCAGGTAAGTTAGATTTAAACCAAAATGCAGAATATCCAAACTCCCAAGCCTGAACTGAGGGCAACAAAGGGGTGAAGAAGGTGAAGCTGGGGTCAGGGTCCAAATTGTGAGGAATTTAGCCCGGCACATAAGGCTCCTCCTGCTTTCAAGGCTAGAGCGGAATGGCGGTGGGAATGGAGCTTCCAACACGGTGAGGCCGACGGTGACCTGGCTACAGCCGCGGGCTGGCCCTGTGTCCCCAGGCCGGCATGCACCCAGAGTCTGTGGAACACCACCCTCTGAGGGCTGCACACAGACCTCAGGGCGGAGGAGAGGAGGGTGCCCTCCTCTCAGGAGGAGCCCCCTGAGAGGCCAGGTTCCCTGGAGCTGGGAGAACAGAGTGGGAGGCCGGAACGGCGTGTCCGCTCCTGTGTGGGCGCGGTTTTCACTCCCTGTTGGCACACGTTTTCTGAAGAAGGAAGAGGAAGGACTCGAGAAAAAGAATTCTTTCTTCTCTAAGGGGAGAAGCCAAGGATGACAAAACCTACAGCTTTCTTCAGAGTTATCTCTAAGCGAAGAAGCACGCCCAGCTTCCCCCTCCCGACTAGGGAAGGTTGCAACAAGGAGTGAAGAGAGTGCCAAAGCAACCAGAAAAAAGGAAGGGGCCTACGAACTCACTCCTAAGCTCCCCATGTGCTGGGGGAGGCCGTCTCCCCCACAGAGATGAATTCAGGGTCTGGAGACAAAAGGAAGGGCCGAAGGGAAAGTAGCAGAGTGGGAGGGAGAGGGAACCGGCCTGGAGAGGCCAGCCGGCCGCAGTCACACATTCTGAAGTGGCTCAGATGGGACGCCCCAGAGCGGAGCAGGCCTTGAGGAAACAGTAATGAGGAAACATTACATAATGCAGAGTAAGGCAGCCTCACATCCCCCCACTGCCTCCTGGCCCATCTCTCCTACTCTCTGTCCCTCCCCCGTGGACGGCCCCAGCTGGCTCTAGGGCAGGGGTACCCAACCCCTGGGCCATGGACTGGTACCAGTCGGTGGCCCACTAAGGAACTGGGCCGCACTGCAGGAGGCAAGTGGCAGGGAGCGAGCAAAGCTTCATCTGTGTTTACAGCTGCTCCCCATCACTCAAATTACCACCTGAGCTCTGCCTCCTGTGAGGTGAGCAGCGGCATTAGGTTCTCATAGGACCTGGAACCCTAACCCTAAAGTCAAGACGGAATATTCTGAAATTGCCACAAAAGAGAAACACAGTGCACAAGAAATGCAGTCATGTCTAAACCATCCCCCCACCCTGGTCCATGGATAAATTGTCTTTCATGAAACCCATCCCTGGTACCAAAAAGGTTGGGGACTGCTGTTCTAGAGGATTTCTCCTCCCCCATCCCCCACTCATCTCCTCACCCAGCGGGTTCTCACCCACTTTCTACTTTGCACCCTGGCATCTGATTGGGCTCTGCCCAGACTCGGCCACTGGCCAAGCACAGCTGGGATCCTTCCTCCTCAGAAGGGAAGGGAGGGCGGAGGTTGCAAGGCATCATCAAGTGTTGCGTTATGTTTTGTTTTACTCTTGCCCCACTGCATGTGTGGTTACGGAGCATGTTCACATGCAGTCCTCTTGGGCAACTCCCTGCTCGGGGTCACCTGGGCAGTTAGAGGTGGGAGTGAGGCTCCTGGATCCGGATCCACAGTTGCTGACCCACAGCATCATGGGAGCAGATGTGGTCCAGGCTAGATGGTGGATGGGATCTCAAATCTTGTGTCTACCCTTCCTCTTCTCCCCACCCCCGTCCCGCAGGGCCCTGGAAGGGGAAGCCCACCGTGTGTTGTTTGGGTTTGTGCCTGAGACACCAGAGGAGCTACAGGTCATGCCAGGGAACATCGTCTTTGTCTTGAAGAAGGGCAATGATAACTGGGCTACGGTCATGTTCAATGGGCAGGTATTCAGAGGATGGGGTGGTGGGTTTATGGGCACAGGATCCTGGCAGCACATGGCAGAGCTTTTTGAGGAGCAGCATCTGCTGCCTTACATGCAGGCCAGCTGCCCCCTCTTTCCCCTGTCCCCCCACCCCTCCCCACGTCTCTGGGCATCCTGCACTGTGGCTACTAACGAGTGCATCTCTGCTTCCCCCTTTCTGGCTCCGCGATGCTGCGCTGCAGAAGGGGCTCGTTCCCTGCAACTATCTCGAACCAGTTGAGTTGCGGATCCATCCTCAGCAGCAGCCCCAGGTAAAGGAGCGCCAAGGGCTGACCCGTTCCCTTCCTACCCCTGAACCCCGCCACCGACAGACCATGGAGGGGAGAAGAGCAGAGGAGAAGAGGCACTGGGGACTCACTAGTCCTGAGCCCACCTTGAGTTGGTAGCAGCTGCCCAGAGCTGAACCTAGGGATGAAAGAAAAAACCCAGATGTGCTGAGTGGAGGTATCAGCAGGTCCTACTGGGCCCCCAGCTCTGTGATTCCTCCTGGTCAGGGGTGACTTGACCACAGCTACAGCAGGTGACGACTTAGGTCTTCCCAGGATGTCTTCTTCACCCGGAAGAATAGTCAACATGCCAGCTGGTGAAATCCACTCACCAGAGGAAATCTGCTTTAGAGCACTGAGTCAGAGCGGACCTTGCCAGCCACTGCTTCCGATGCTGCTGCCACCCCCACCACCCTGTCTCGATGACCTGCCCTTCTGCCAGGCCTGGGGAGTGGTCTTTGTTGGATCTGTGCAGATGCCTGATGGCAATAGATCCTGTCTCTCTCTAGACTGTGCAACCAGTTGTTCTCTGTGGGGTTGGCACTCCTTGGTCAGAATCACGATGTCCAGATGACTGGAAAAGTTCTAAGTGCCATGCAGATGAGAAGTGGCATGTTTCCTTTGAAGGGGCAAGGTGTAGAGTGAGAGGGTGAGCTAAGACAAGGGTCCTACCCTGCCTCCATTGGGTTTCCAGTGTGGCAATTGAGGTGATTAGGCAGCAAGGGCCTTGTAGCTGGGGTGGGGTGGGGGGGCGTTAGGATTCTTATTTTCTCATTATTTCTACTGTGATTGTTTTCACCAGGCCCACTCTGTCTCCCACTGAATCAACACTTCCCTTCAATTCAGTTCAGTTGCTCAGTTCTGTCTGACTCTGCAACCCCATGGAATCTAGTATGCCAGGCTTCCCTGTCCATCATGAACTCCTGGAGCTTACTCAAACTCATGTCCATTGAGTCGGTGATGCCATCCAACCATCTCATCCTCTGTCATCCCCTTCTCCTCCCGCCTTCAATCATTCCCAGCCCTTAGTCTCCACTAAATGTCATCACCACTCCAACTTTTAGGAAGTTGTTTGCATCTGGCTCCCTTCCATGGTGGTCTGCAGGGTCTCCCCCACTTCTACCCCTGCCTAAGAACTGTGTCTGCATGAAGGTTCTCACCCTCTCTTCCTGTCCCCTCCAGGAAGAAACCTCCCCGGAGCCTGATATCCCAGCTCCCCCAAGTTCCAGTGCTCCTGGAAGACCCCAGTTGTCACCAGGTTGGTGTCTCTGGAGGACCATCCCGGGATTGGGTGCAGAAGTGCTCCAGGCTGCCTCCCCACCGAGGGTTGTCTCTCAGCCTGATGGAATCTGGTTTCTTGTACTCCCAGCTTATGATCATGAGGCCCCAGGGCACCCCCCCCCTCCTGTGTCACTCACCCACCCAAAACACAGGAAAACAGAAATCCTTCCTCCTTGCCTGCTCCAGAACATGCATGGAGCTTGGGTAAAGGCAGCTGCTTTCTGGTGGGCTGTGAGCATCCCAACTCAGTCATTAAGTAGTGGGACCTTATCCCAGGGGGAGAGGTTCAAGTAATTACACCTGTTGACCTCAGAGTGGGGTGGAGTGGTTCTTCTCAAATGACTGAGGAGCTCTATCTAGAAAAGAAATTCTGCAGAGCCCTGGAGGATGGACCAAGAACCAAGGTGCAGACATGAAAGGGATACTCTCCTGATATGTGGAGACGGTTGCCCTGGGAAGTCATGGACTTTTGGTTACTAATGTGGGTTAAGCAGATCCTGAGTAAGTGCTTGGTAGAGATGCACTGACTAGGTGGTTTGTCCAGATCCTAGATCAATGACTGTCATGCCCACCTGATCATCAGAATCACTTGGGATGCTCCCCACCCCTATTTTTACCTTGAAAATATTAAACCTATAGAAAGGTTGAAAGTATGGTACAATATGAACACAAGAATATCTTTCACTTAAATTCAGTAATTGTTAACATTTTGCATCATGTACTTGGGCTGCTCTTCTTGTTAATATAATTTTTTTTCTAGTTGCTGAACCACTTGAAACTAAGTTACAGACTCATGACACTTCACCCTACACTTCAGCATCTGTCTCCTAAGAACAAGGATGCTCTTCTGCATAAGCACAATATAATTGTTATATCTAGGATAGTGTTAATATATTATATATTATATAATATATATATTTCATATTCAAATTTCTCCTATTATCCCCCACTGTCCTTGACAGCTTTCTTTAATTTATATTTTCTAGGGGCCCATCGAGGATCACATATTAACCTATGAAGATTTTAAGAATGTAGAATCAAAGGCCTTTGATTCTGATTTTTTAGGACTGGAATCAGGCTTAGAAACTTGTTTTTCTAGGAAAAAAGAAACCCCAAGAGATTCTAATGATCAGTTGGGTTTGAGATCAGTGGTTTTTTTTGAGCATGCACTGCTGTTTCCATGGTGAATATCATTATACATACATTTCTTATATAAATTATATGTGTTTAGTCACTCAGTCATGTTTGACTCTTTGCAATCCCATGGACTGTAGCCCACCAGGCTCCTCTGTTCATGGGATTCTACAGGCAAGAATACTGGAGTGGGTATCCATTCACTTTTTAGGTTGGGAAGATGTGATCTTCCCAACCAATCCCAACCATGGAACTGAACCCAGATCTCCTGAATTGCAGGCAGATTCTTCACCATCTGAACCACCAGGGAAACCCCAGAAATTATATATGTACTGCTACATTAATATATTTTAAACATTAGAAAACATACAAAAGATGAAGGACAAATTAAAAATAAATGGTTATTTCTTCTTGTGGCCCCTGGCTGATCTCTTACTCCCTGATTCTGTTTTGATGGAGCCCACTGCTTTAACTGACCTTTGGGAATCTTGCATGATACCACTACACCAGCAGCACTACTGTTAGCTGTCCTTTGGGATCCCTCCCTAACCCCATGGTCTGGTGAGGATGTGATGGTCCTTTGGTAATTACCTCTATGCTCCCTAGAAGCAGAGACTGGGTTCATTTGTGTGTTCATGGCTTTGCCCTTCACATCTACCCAATGATTTCCCCCACAGTTTATTAAGGTTAATGATCACCCCGCAGGTTAAAGCATATGAGTTTGGGTGCCTGGTTCTAAGTGGTTTCATCTTGTGCATGGCAGGGGCTAGCCAAGAGTGTTCATTCAATATCTTCCTTTGTTTAACTCTCACCTTCTCCATTTAGGTCAGAAAGGAAAAGAAGAGCCCAAGGTAATTTTTTTTTTCCCTGTACTATTTCAAGGGGTAGAGAGAGGAAGAGCTTAGGTTGCCCACCTAACCATTTCTACGGGTGGTCTCCTTGGATTGTAGAAAGAGCCCCAAAGGAAGGGTATACCAGTTGTTACCATACATACAGGGACCAGGGACACCCCCGCTCCCATTTGACGATCTCTCCCTCTTCCATGCACACACTGCCTGCTGGCCCATGGCTGGTGGGCCAGGTACCACCCATAGGAATTTTTATCCAAGTGTGAGTTTAGCTGGAGGACAGGGCTCTGAAGGCCCTCTCATGTTAGTGTGAAACCAGGCACTTCTGGGCCTTTCCCCGCCATGGGGTCCTTACTCCCTGGGATCCAACATGTTGCTCGGAGGACGCCTCAGGCACTCACAGATTCCCTTTGTGGCTCTCCGGGCAGGAAGTCAAGCTCAGTGTCCCCGCGTCCTACACACTCAAGGTGCATTACAAGTACACGGTGGTCATGGAGACTCAGTTCAGGCTCCCCTACAGCCAGGTCCGGGACATGGTGGCTAAGAAGCTGGATCTCCTGCCGGAACACATGAAGCTGAGGTGAGCAGCACACAGGGAGACGTGAGGGTACAGCCGGGCGCCTGCTGCTGGCCAGAGGATGGGCCTGCACTGCTGCTGTCTGACTTGCTTCTCCCTCATTGCCTCTACCCAGCTACCGTTCTCGGGACAGCAATGAGCTGGCGCCCCTTTCAGAATTCAGCATGAAGGATGCCTGGGACCAAGTGAAAAACTACTGCCTGACGCTGTGGTGTGAGAACACCGTGGTGAGTGCCCAGGGGCATGGAAGGCTGGATTTCTAACTGGCCACTTCCTCCACCACAACTGAGCATTCACCCAGTGCCGGCTGGGTGCCTAGCCTAGGTGCAGTGTTGGGGACATGGCAGGTAACAAGCTGCAGCTCTGGCATCCTCACCCGGGGTGCAGCTGGGAGAGGTTTTCCCACAAGAGCAGAGCAGGCCCAGGAGCCCACAGAAAGCTTCAGGGCCCTTCCATCTGCTGCCACACCTAAGGTTTAGGCTCGATCAAGCAAGGTTAGAATGAAGTCGCAGCTTGAGGCCGAGTTCACAGCCATTCTTCACCTTAAGTTTCCATGGGGAAGGACATTTGGGAGTGAAAAACAAATTAGCGAGCATTTATTTCATGAAGATGACTTGCATAACAACCTTCTACTAACAGCAAACATCTACTGAGAAGATCCTTTGTGCCAGACACTGTGCTAAGCGCACTCTGTGTATAAATTCTTAAAACCCCCATAACTCTGTGAGGGATGTATTGTTATCCTGTTTTATAACGTAGGTGACAAGGCAAAGTGAGGCCCCCCTGGCCAACATTACTCAGAGCCTGCCTGTACTCTTGAACATGGATCCCCTCCCGTTAGGAGTCAGGCTGCACGGCAGGAGGCGAGCGGCTCGTTAGCAGGGGAAGCTTCATTTATGTTTATAGGTGTTCCCCATCACTTGCATGACTACCCGAGCTCTGAAAGTGAGTGAAAGTCGCTCAGTCATGTAACTCTTTGTGACCCCATGGACTCTATAGTCCATGGAATTCTCCAGGCCAGAATACTGGAGTGGGATCTTCTCCAGGGGATCTTCCCAACTCAGGGATCGAACCCAGGTCTCCCACGTTGGGGGCAGATTCTTTACCAGCTGAGCCACCAAGGGAAGCCCAAGAATATTAGAGTAGGTAGCCTATTCCTTCTCCAGTGGATCTTCCAGACCCAGGAATCGAACCGCAGTCTCCTGCATTACAGGCAGATTCTTTACTAACTGAGCAATCAGGGAAGCCCACCTGAGCACTACCTCCTATCAGATAAGCAGTGGCATTAGATTCTCATAGGAGCTCAAACCCTACTGTTAAACCATGCATGTGAAGGAACTAGATTGTGCACTCCTTACAATGATCATCCTGAAAGCATCCCAACCCCCCTAACCACAGGTCTGTGTTAAAACTGTCATCCATGAAACCGGTTCCTGGTGCCAAAAAAGGCTGGGGACTGCTGCTCTTGAACACGTCGATGTACTGACAGTAAAAGGGCAGGTTATCTATAGGCCCTGGGGTCTAGAAGAGTTAACTGACTTTCCAGTGAGAATGAAGGGAGTCAGGAGCAAAGTTTGAGGCTAGAAGTAGCAGCTACACGTTAGTACTCTTTGGCTTTGTCCCTTAGTCTCCCAAGGAAAGGTTGCCATTTCTTTTTGCTGTGGATGTTAATTTTCTTTCTCAACAATGGTCCGTCATCCACCTGCTTTCTGTCAACAAAGTTTTTTGTCTTTTATGTCATTTCAAGTAAGTGGATTGTACAGTGTATATATATTTTGTGTCTTAATAGTCCATTTCTTTTGAATGCTAAATGGTATTCCATTGTATGGATACCACAACTGGCTTATTCATTCAGCTGTTGGTGTACATTTGGGTTGTTTCCAGCGTTTGTCTAGTGACATTAATTCTTCAACAAACATTTGCTGGGCACTTACTGCTTTCTAGATAGGTACTGGAGACATAAAAACTAGTAAGACACAGGCCCTTTTTCATAAGGGGAAGAGCAAGCAGATGACTACAAAGCGTGTGTGCAGTAAACTGATGGAGACGCACAAATGCTTTACTGTTATGTATGTATTTATGTAACATCGGGAGGGTTTCTCACCCAAAAATGCTGGAGGGAAGTGGGACAAGTCTTCCTAGAGAAAATGATGCTGAAATTGTCTTGAAGCTTAGCCTGAAAATGGTGCATAGTAACTAGCAAGGTGGAGGTTAGGGTGAATGAATTATATAGATGGAAAGAACCAGAGGGACGACAAGAATCAGCCCAGTGGGAAAGGGGGCTCAGTGCTGTTGGACAGGGACAGTGGTGGGAAAGATGTTGGAAAGACCACAGGGCCAGATGGGGGTAGCCTTGGACACCACTGTGCTGGGTTGATACTGTGAGCAGGCAAGAAGATAGTGAGGTCTTGCTCTGTACTGGTAATTTAAGGGGCACATGAGCAAGGCAGGGAAATCAGCTAGGCTGGCTGGTGGGCCTCCTCTGAGTAAGCAGCTCCCAACCCACAATCGCGAGGCTGGGGAGTCCTGACACAGAGACCATGAATCTGCAGTTCCCACTGCCCAAAGCTGCCAAGTGGGGTCCCACTGGCACTTCAGTTCTTCCTCTTCTCACCTGTTTCCTGCTTTAGCCTTTGTCAGCTGTGGCATCTGCAGTTTTATCTGCCTAGGGGGTATAAAACTAAATAGCTCCTAAGGGAATCCTTGGTCAACTACTAGTTTTCAGCCACAAATGGACTTTTGAGACCATACAAATGCCCACAGCAGGAAAGCTATTCCAGACGTGTAGGCTGTGGGACCAGCGAGTCCTTCCTCCAAACCCTCATCCCCACAGCTGGGTAGGGGTTACTGCTCAGTTAGGGAAGGGTCTCCTTTGCACTCAAACCAAAGACAAATGTTTGATTGGGGCTGGGGCAGGGTGGAAATGTGAGGGGAAGAACTAAAGAGGATGGATCTGGAGGCAGGCCCTGTAGTAAGCCCCACAAAGTAAACCTAGTGGTCAGGGTTCAAAAAATTGTCTCAGGAAGTGGAGCCACTGGAGCGGAGACTTCGGGTGCCTCTGGCTGAAAGCCCCAGGACCCTAGGAGTGAGGAGTGTCCATGCAAGTTGTCCCTTGAAAGGGTGAAAGGTCACTCTAGGTTTTCCAAGGATCTGTTTTTGGACTAACCCCTTCAGTCCTGTCTTGAAAGGATTCCTATTAGTTCAGCTCTAAATGTGAATTTGTTGTTCAGTCATGTCTGACTGTGCAACCCCATGGACTGCAGCACGCCAGGCTTCCCTGTCCTTCCCCATCTCCTGGAGTTTGCTCAGATTCACGTCCATCAAACTGGTGATGCTATCTAACCATCTCAGCCTCTGCTGCCCCCTTCTCCTGTTTCCCTCAATCCTTCCCAGTATCAGGGTCTTTCCCAATGAGTCAGCTCTTTGTATCAGGTGGCCCAAGTATTGGAGCTTCAGCTTCAGCATTACTTCACTGCAAAGGTTGATTTTGATGTTTTAAATTATTTTTTGTTGTTTTTGTTAATGATTGTTAACTCCCACAGGGAGTTCCTGATTAACAGATTTGGGATGGTGCAGACAAATTTGCCTTTCTATAACAAGGTGCCCAGTGTTATGGGTGCTGGGGAAAGGGTGTTGGATTTGGGAGTTAGGTTTTGACTTTGGGTTCTGTCACTTACCTGTGATTCAACCTATTTCTCCATCCGAGAAAAATTAACAATTGTACCTATTCTACCTTTTTCAGGATTAACATAAGGTTTCATTAGCGTTTTAAGAGGACCTACAGTCCTGTAGACCTTTTGGTTTCACTTACCCAACCATACAGTGTTCATAAAGTACACACCAGGTCTATGCTAGGCACTGATCACAAACTTGGCTTTGAGTTTATATCCCAGGTGCTACATTGACATTTTGCTGATTGATTCCTTCAGTGATGTTCAATGTTCATGGCAGGAAGTTAGGAAAACTAATAGTACCTTTACTATTTCAGGGTGACCAGGGCTTTCCAGAAGAACCCGAAGAAAGCAAAAAACCTGATGCTAATAACCAGACAACAGAACCTGAGCTTAAGGAAGGGAGCAAAGTGGTAGCTCTCTTCAGTTACGAGGCTACCCAGCCAGAAGACCTGGAGTTCCTGGAAGGGGACGTAATCCTGGTGATATCAACGGGTAAGTGCTACTCCCAGAGTATAGAAACTAATGTACATGTTAGCAGCAATAAACACAAGGACAGAGAGAAGAAAACATCAGTCAGCTACAAACTTTAGCCAATGGTTTCAATTTCCTCCCCAGTTCTTAGTGGGAGGGAGCAAAACTGAGTGTTCACCTCTCCATCTGCTGCTCTCCTGGGCAGGGAAGCAACCAATGGCAGACTTCGGTCACACATTAAAGACTGTTTTGGAAGCCATGGGTTCTCACACCGGAGTTAATGAATTGGAAGGGGGCTTCAACCACTTTGTGTTTGACATGCACCAAGCCATGTCATACTGATGTTTTGCAAACTATAGGTCTTTAAATTGATGTACTTTTTGAAGATGAAGGAAAAAGAGCATACATTTTGCCTTAAAAAAACAACGATTCAGAATTGCTCTCTCTGGTGACTTGCCAGGTTGTTAGAAATCAAACACAGTAAAAGTTAAATTAAGTGGAGGGTTCTAACTTACTGCTTCTCAAACTGAAGTATGCTCATGCATCTTTTGTAATTTGTTAAATTCCTCTGACCCAGCTCTAAAGATTCTGATTCAGGGCTGGGGTGGGGCCCACTAATTTGCATTTTTAACAAGATTCCAGGTGATGCTGGTCTACTGACCATACTGAGAAGCAGCATTCTATTAATAACTCATGGTTTGACACTCTTATTTCTTTACCTGGTAACAAGAGTCAGAGCAAAAGTTTCACTCACATGGCTGAAATCTTGTACATTAGCAATGCAAAACAGTGAAAACAGAACACCATTATCAATTATAACAGAAAATTAAGAAATGAGAGGGAGAGATTTTGAAGTTAATGGGGGTGAAGAGTGAGTATACGACTATAGCAACAATATAAGAAATGAAAATAAAACAGGGTGCATGGTCAATGTGTATATTTTAAAAGGGAGAATGGAAACTCAGTTTTAAGAGTTGGATTTAACTCCCCACACCATTTTTAAAGTGTCAATACCAAGCAACTGGCTTAATTTTTTTTTCAGGGGTGGGGATGAGATAAAGATGAACAAATGCTCTGAAGTGTCTTCTGGGTAGATATGGAGAGAAGGTGGTATACTCTTTACTGGGATTTGTATAGAAGTCTAAGTTGATTTAATTCAGGAAGTATCTATGTAAGATTTTGAAACTTTTATAACACACAGGGAAATAGAATTCAACATAAACATTGTATAGGGCTGAGAGGTTGAGTTCAGTTGTATTCAACAATTATGAGATAGTTTCATTCCAAAAGTTTCTCAAATTTTAAATGTCAACCATCTGGGGAACTTGTTAAAATAGATTCTGAATCAGGTTTGGGGTGGGACCTGAGATTTGGCATTTCTAACAAGCTCCCAGGATCCAGCACAACAAATGCTGATACTCGTATCATAGAAGAATCAAGACAACAGTTTGCAATTAGAATTACCTTGGGTGAACTCGGATGCTCAGCCACACTCCACACTAATGGAGTTTCTGGGGACAGGATCCAAGTACCACATGGTGCTGCTGTAATGTCTGATGGAGACATGTTACATCCAAAGATGAGCCTCTGATCTGAACAGCTTCTACAGTTGTTGGATGGGCTCTAGAATAGGTCATAGCTACCTAAGGTGTCTGATATTTATTGGCAGAATGACCCCAAACAAGCTATTAATCTCTTGTGTCTTCTCAGAACCTAGACTGAGTTACATTCCCCTGGAATGTAGCTTTCAACTCCAAAGAAAATTTAAAATGGGGATATTGGTGGCTCAGAGGTTAAAGCGTCTGCCTGCAGTGCAGGAGACCCGGCTTTGATCCCTGGGTCGGGAAGATCCCCTGGAGAAGGAAATGGCAACCCACTCCAGTATTCTTGCCTGGAGAATCCCATGGAGGGAGGAGCCTGGTGGGCTACAGTCCATGGGGTCACAAAGAGTTGGACACGACTGAGTGACTTCACTTTGATACACTTTTGATTATCTATAACTGAGTTATGAAGTCTATGCACATACTTTATTAAAGTCTCAAAAGAGGGGCTATGAAAATTCTTGTATTTTACAAACATGGACTGAACCCATCATTGCTCCAACTCGCAATTCTTTGACCATTCACTAGTGAAGAGTCATTATTAATCTATTTAACCAATGGCATATCCCTGTCCTGTAATCAAAACAAAGGTTCCCAACAAAGCTAAAACTCTGTGTTAAAAAAACCACCTCATACATAAGGATTCACTGTTCAATTTCTTTGGTAATTTTTTGAAGGCTCTACTTTTTCTGCATTTTACTTCTCTACAGAAACCAATAATGAGATAGCTCCTATGTTCACTCCTACCAGTCACTTTTCCAACACTGACTTTTCCCTGTCAGCACAACTGGGGGTGAAGGAGGACCAACAAAAGTTCTAAGTGGACTACTCGGGTGAGGGAATTCTCCTATACTCATTTTAGAAGTCAACGTGTATTTTTCCTTTTATCAGTGAATGAAGAATGGCTGGAAGGGGAGTGCAAAGGGAAGGTTGGCATTTTCCCCAAAGCTTTTGTTGAACAACATGCAACTACAGACTTGGAAAGCACGTCCTGAGGAGTCTAGGACGTTTTACAACCTACAATGTTGAAGAAAAGGAAGTACTATCATTTACAAGATTTGACACGCCTCTGCCACACATTCGAGACACCCCTCTGGAAGCATTAATTCATCTGCTCTTCTGTTAAAACTTTAACCTATTAGACGATGATGTAAGAACTTACAATGATTACCGTCAAGACAGGGAGGGAAATGTCTAGAAGAGGGGGGTCTTCTAGGGTGCAGATAATCTGTTTCTTGCTTGGAGTGCTGGCTACCCAGATGTGTTTGGTTTGTGAAAATTCACCGAGTTGTATACTTACTGTTGGTACACTTCTCTCTACATATGTGATGCCTCAATAAAAAACTTACAAAAACAAGATACCCAGAGTGCAGGCCCAAGACCTAAGTATAAAAATCCCCACTCCTACATCGTTACTATCACAAACTCCCAGGGACCGAGGTAACTTAATAGGTAATTCAGAAGATATGCGCATGCACGCCTACACACACGAAGCTAACATTTTGAGGATTAAAAGTCTCGCTGCTTAAACAGAACCTAGACTGAGTTATGTTCCCCTGGAATATAGCTTTTAATTTCACAGAAAATTAAAATACTGGAACTACATCCCTTGATTTTTTCTCATAGAGGACATCTGTTAAAGAGTTCAACAGTGAGTATATGCCACTAATACTTGATATGAAAAGCGGCCATGCTCAGGAAGCCAGTTGGTTAATACTATCCTACTAGGTAATGTTTGTTTTTCAGGATTAACTTGGGTGAGTTTCCATAAATTCAAAAGGCCTGGCCTTAATTCCCCTTCCTCTTGTGGAATATTCTACTAACAATTTTTCAATTGTGTAGGTGCTCATGAAAAGTACACTTAGGAGACAAACTGTAGACTGAATCAACATCAATGTGAAAACGCAGCTGGTGGGTGTGTGCGCAAACACACAGGTGAGGTGCGGTGTTGGCTCCCTCACACAGCGAAGGCTGGCAGGATACTGCTGGAAATCGGGGAACACAACTTGAGGAAATACAACTCCACAGCAAAGAACACCAAATACTGTTGCTGCTCATCTCAATGAGTTGAGTTTACTGGGCCAATAGGATACACGGTCTCTGAGCTGCCTTATTAAGGGTAACAGTAAGGATAAAAATGCTGAGTTGTTAACTCCTTTGCATAAGCCATTCTTTATTAGAACCCATCCCTTTTTGTAATCCTGCACATCAGTTTGAAATATTACTAAAAGCAAAAATAACCCTGAAGCATATTTGATTTTTGATCTTCTTTAGTTCCCCTAGATGACTTGTGAGTAGTTTAAATTTGTTAAGTTGGATTTTCTTTTAGGATAGGAAAGAAACAATCTCTACAAAGATCTGGTTGGAGAGAACATGGTTTAATTAAAGGCAAAGCTGATTTCAGCAGCTGCAGGTCTTGCACAGACAGACCAAAACAAATAAACAAAAACAAAAAGAAACACAAAAGAAAGTTTGCTACACAGAACCAGTTTCTGATGAAGATTCTCCTTTCCCTCCTCATTACTCCACACTGAGGATGATAAGGCGAGGAACCCCGCCCCAAGAGTCAAAAAACATTCCAAACACCAAATTCTCATGCAGAAATGGGGCTGCAGACAGGACGTGGGCACTGCGGGAGCGAGAGACGGCGAACCTGGTGGGCGTGTCGAGGGTGCAAGAGTCGGTGACAGTTCAAACACTGGAATGTTGCAGCTGCCTGAATGCAGAGCTCAAACACACAAAGTGGGTAAAGGCAGCAGGGATGGAGGCTCGGGAGGGAGGGGATGGGAGGACGGTGGTCACGGAGGAGGCGCTGGAGAGAAGCACAAAGGGCTTCATATTGCCATTGGGTGGGGGACTTCACCCTTTCAGACCTTTCAAAAAAAAGAAACAACAAAAACAAAAAACCCCAAACACCATGTCAAACTAAAACAGCAATAATGTAAGCATTCGGGACTCCAACCACTCTCTCGGAAGAGCAATGAGCATGAATCTCTCACCCCTTTTCATTGCTGGGGCTGCCCAGACTCCAGTGACGACCGGGGCTCCTGGATGTGCTTCGCTCTGTAGCTGTTTTCCAGCTCTTGAGTCCCACGCTAGCTCCACACACTCACACGCACCACCCTTCCCCTACAGGGAGCAGACGGGCCAGTGTGCACACACACAAACACACTCACACACACGCGCGCGCGAAGGAGAGCCCTCCCAGAAAACAAACCCTACCACTAGCACAGCAATTGGACATTTAGATTGTTTCCATAATTTCCCCTTAAAATATTACTTTCCCAGGAAATGACTATCAGAAATGCTGTCCTTCTGTTTCTACACAAGAAAAATCTTCAGTCCTCTTTCCTTCTAATAAATATCAGATAAAAAGTTTCTTTTCCTTTCTTCTGCCTTTTCCAGAATGGACTCCGTTGTGTTTTCCTTCTGTGCCTGATGCACACGTGTCCGTGTCGCCTTGAATTTCACTCTGGAAGTGGAGGCTGGGAGACCACAGCCGGGCAAGGGCCTGGCTGCCTGGCGGGGCGTGCACACGCTGCCACTTCCTTCCTCTTCAGACGGCCTTTTGGGCCCCAACTGCTGGCCCCAATGCTGTTGCTTCTTGGCGCGATGTTGTACACGTTAGGAATAAAAACGATTACAGCACACAGCACAGGGTGGAAAGGGGGTGGAGGTAGGGACAGGAGGAGGTGGGTGGTAAGTAGGATGGGTGCACAAAAACCAACCAAACAAAAAGTAACCACACTGAAAGCTTCTACCTAGTAAACTCTGTCAGGCCATGAATGGACTAGCCTGCCTGCTGTGGGACTCCTGCGACACTACCGTAAAAGGGAGAGCAGCCACAAACGTTCCTTTAGAGCCCGACGGCAGTCCTTGGCTAGTCCAGCCCAGCACCACCAGCCGTGCGGCATCCTCAACTGGGGCTCGAGCACCTACAGAATGAAGGGCATTTCCAGCTGGAGTCTCCAGGCCAGAGGAGGGCCCACCAGAACCTTCTGAGTCAAAGTGGAGGCCGCGTCCTCTCCCTTATGGACCGTTTCCACGGGCTGAAGAGGTCGGTTTCCCCATCCTGTCACCACCGACCTCTCACAGGAGCGGTGCACGGGGTTTTTCCTTGCTACACACTGACTAGAAGAAGCACATCTGTGTATGGAAGAATTCAGTGTGATATCTTACTACTGAGAGTAATAACAATAATAAAAGATGTTCAGGAGTAATTTCAACTACATTCTCAGTCAGCAAAGCAATCATTAATGGATTCCTATTTTATTCCCCAAAGAGGAAAAAAAAAGGACTGAGAAGTTCCCATTGGCTTCTCCCATCTGCCTTCCCTTCTCAGCTTTCACTTCCCACGTGGCTGGGGACATGCACGATGGAGAAGGTGAGAGGCGGTGATACCAGGTAGCTGAGTGAGACAAACAGCAGTTCCTCTCTCCCTCCGGAAGGCCCCGGGGGGACGGAGAGTTCCTGATGGTTTTTTCTTTTTGTTGCACTGCGGACATTTCGTGCACACTCAGCGGGCTGGTGGAATACTTACACCCTCTCAACAGCGAGACACAGAAAAGAGGGCTGCCACCTGCAGGGGACTGTGTGGGTCAGTCCTGCAAACCCAACATGCCATGGTTTATGGAGCCTTCATTCCCAGGGTTGCCACTCTGGCCTCAGTGTGGAGGGTTCATGGTGCCTTGTCCCCGCTGCTGTTTCTGCTTCTGCTGCATTAACAGCTGCTCCAAAGCGGAAGGTCCAGGATGCATCATGGAACTGGACCAGATAGACTGAAAAACAGCCCAGAGCTTGTCAGCAGAGGTCAGATGCCTGACTGTCTGAAAGGGATCTGATTTTCAATCCCAGCCAAACATAAAGGCATGTACGTCCCAAGGTCCCCAAACCCTGAAAAGATCCAGCTATTACAAGGAGTTGCTCTAAGACCAGGTCCTTCAAGACTGGCTATTTAGTTCTCATTAAGATCACTTTAAACCAGAAAAGGTGAAAGTAAGTTTTCTATAAAGTCTTTTTACTAAAACTCAGCTCCATGTGAGGACACTGTTTGTTTTAGGCAAACAAAACATTTATGAAATTAGATATCCTTTTTTTACTTGTTCAAAAAAGGAGTAAAGAAAATATTTCAAGATGAGTCAGAATTTTCTTAATCTTAGAATCCAACTAAAAGCTTCATGTCTGTCCCCCTGAGGATACTGGTTTATCACTAGTGAATTAAAAAAGAAATCCTTTTAAAGAATCTTATAATGCAGACCATGCTTCTAAGACTTTGTCAGATACATAGTATGAATCAAACAATCCTAAGGGCCTTAAGAATAAGACTAGCTATTTATGTGAATGAAAGCAGAGACATCTCTTATGGTTCTTGTTCCTGATCCACTCACCTTTAGGCTTTCCATGAGGACAGCAGAAGAATCCTCCATGGATGGGCCATGGCCTGTCCAGGAGCCACTTGGAGTGCTGGCCTGATGCCAACTGCTCTCAGAGGATGATGTTGCTGAGAGATAATCAATGCCAAACCCACCCATGGCTAGGAATGAAGAGAAAAGAATAATTCAAGAAGATGTTCTATCACTGCCAAAGGTCCAGGAAGGACACAGAGTAAGTTAGTTCACTTCTACTAAGCAATGAAGATTGGATCTCACCTGGCTTATCAGTTTTCCAGCGGTCTGCAGTTCTCCTATCCCTGTTATCTGGAGTCCCAATGGGTCCAAAATTGGAGAATGGGACAGAATTGTGGTTGTGTGTTGGAGGGGAGCTTGGCAGGCTGCTTGGGTTGGAGGAATGAGGAGACTGGCTGGCTGGTGTTGAATGATCTATTGAATAACAGCAACGCAGGACATTAGAGATTTTTCACAAACACACCAAGAATGAAAGTTTCCAGGAGATTTGATCACTTAAATTCTCTTAAAAATAACCCCAGGGTTTCAGGAGAAAGGCAAAATAAAGGCCCCCAGAGGGACCCTACCAGATGCACTAGTCTGTCTTACTACACATATCTAAGGCACGTTCCTTACCTTAAAAATAAAAATGTAGATGTTTCTGTAAAAAGTATGCATTGTTTTGGTGTGCCTGTTTCAGATAAGTATATACTGTTCTTCTCTATCAAAGCAGAATTGCCTAACCTTAAGAATTTTCCTGTAAAGAATGAATATCTACAAATAAAACTATGAAACAGTTGCAAACCTTAAGATAAAACTCATATTTTTCTCCCTTACAACTGTGCTCATTACTGAGAATGTAAAACAGCTTTTCTAATGGCATTTATTATGTGAACCAGCTCACCAGGCTTTTTTACACCCCATTTTCCTTCAGAAGTTACTTTAAAAAACAAATACCAATGACAACAACAACAAAAATAGTAGTAACAGACAAAAACCACCAAATACATAAAATTACCAAACCACACTGTCTCTTGAGTGTACGGGTAATAAAGCAAGGTCTCTAATTTAAAGATTAGTCAATACCTGAACTGGCAGGAAGAGATGGAGACCACGGAGTCCCTTCAAAAAGGGAGTACAATGATGTTTCCTGGGGAGCCACTGAGGGATTAAGTTCTGCTTTGGAGCTGGTTGTCAGGTTCTTCCCGTATACTTCATTGAACACACTGTTATTTGGGTATCGTTCCTGAAATACAATGACCACCAAGTACACAAACTCACTCCAATGAAAGAAAATGTAGTGTTCATGCACGTGGATGCTTGATAGATCTTAAGACTTTCTTTGCAAGACAAACTTTTGAAGGCTTTTACTTCTGTTTCTTTCAGTTTTCCTGTTTTCATTCATTTGCTTTTTACTTTCCCGCACCCTTTATCCTGCTCTATGTAAATCGCCCAGGTTAAAAAGTATGAATAATTTACTTGGCTGAACAAGAGAGCCCCAAAGATTTTATTATTAATGAGAAGTTAAACAATTCAAACTTACAAAAGTTTCCAGTATACCCTAATCAAAGTGGGGTGGGGGAGGGGTGGGGTGGGGAGGTGGAGGGGGTAAAATCAGATACCTGGAAAATACCAATATATGGAAAAGAAAAGAAAGAGAAAAACAGATGTATTGAGATAGACTGGGAAAGAAAATAACAGCCCACAGCAGGATGCCTCACTGTTTACGCACCTGATTGAGGGAGAATCCGGTGAGGGACAGGAAAGAGGATGAGTGTGACATGAGCTCTGAGGGCTTCTCCAGTAAGGATTTCTTCATAGTCCCAGAGGGAAAACAAAAGGTAGTTAAATTATGCCTTCCATTTTCTCAGTACTAATTTTAAGATACCATACAAGCAAAATAAAAGACCACAATTTAAGGATACTTGTACAAATTAAAGCTTAGCAAGTATCAATTCAACTCAGATTTTTATTAATACCACGGTCCCACTAAGGGCCAGTCGTCACAGGTGAGTCAGACAGAACCCTCCTGATCAGTACTTCTAACTTAAGCACAGAGATCCTGGCAGGGACCCTGGAAACTGGCAGTACTGAGTATTCACTAGGTAAGAATCTCAAGAATCCCTTTGTCACCAGCTGTATTTAAAATACTCTCAAAACAAGATGCTGAACTGATCAAGCACTATTTTCTTCCTAATTCCCCCCTTGCTAGAATTTTAAAAACACTGACATTAACGACTTTAAAAAAGCCTTTAGATCCACTTGACAACTGGTTTTGTTAGCACGGTTCCTAAGCAACTCTATTGTGGTATGTATTCAAACACTTGCTAAAGTCAAGTTTACGTTTACTGGTCCTTAAGAAACTCATTGGTTTAAAAAAAAAAAAAAGCTGAATCTCTGATGCTCACTATCACTGAACTGTTGGTCAACAAAGCATTTATTAAACACTTGCTACATGCAAGGCACTGCCACACACATGACATCATTAACGATGTTAAATATAGGAAGAGCTATAGTTAAGGTTTTTTTTTTTACCCTGAAAAAACCCCACTACAAGACCCTCCCCCTTATTTCACCATTAGGTTCATTTCTAATGGAGAAGGTAAGCACAACAAGAATTAAGGGATTAGGAAACAAGTGAACAGAAATGTGCTCTGCCCTTAGGCCCTTAAGCCACCCCAGCAAAAAAAAGAAAAAGAAAAAACAGTAAGAAAGGCAAACATGTAGAATCAATAGTTTAGTAGCTGGGCTATCCATGAACTCTAGGTGCTGTCACTGCACTACTATTGTTTGGGTGTCTAGGAGATCTCTTATTTCTGCTAATTTGGGGAAGGCGGGGAGTGGGAGGTCTGTGTGGCCACTCACTCAGAAAAATTCTTAAGGGAATTTCAAGTGCTAGAGATGGCAGTTTCTGTCAGGAGAGCCATTAAGCTTTTATTTCTAACACTAAAATCAGTGCACTTTAGTCTTGTGAACGTTTTCTTACCCCGTGTTTATGGGAAAGAAACAGCAAGAAAGTGGAACTCAGAAATGTTTTACACTTTATTAAGATGGTGTGCAGGGAGGGGGAAAAAAAACCTCATAGCATACATCTTTCTTGCAGTTCCCGACCTCAGTAAGACATGGAAATAACAGCATCCTTTGAAACGCAGACTGGGATATAGAAGATTATTTTTAAAAGATACTACTAATCAATTCTTAGACCTTATCTTTGTGTTCACTCATTGATGGTACTCCAATCATGTTTTAAAATAGAGTCCTCCTATTACAAATCTGGCTCTGAATTTAGATCAGGGCTCTTAAACAAACAGAAAAGAACCACTTACTGTTTAGTAAAATCAATCTAGAATCTTTTTATTCAGTAAAACATCTGGAACATTATTTCATTTCATATTTTGAATACATGAGGAAAAATCTCACTGTTCCTAAGCAAGATTAAATGACAACTAAAATTCCTGGGTCCAGGTGGAAATGACACCTGAAAAGGAAGTTAATTTCCCAGCATTACATCCTGTGTGTGCCCAGCCCTGCAGGATGCTTTCTGGATAACATATATTACAAAGCTACAAGATTTGGGGAAACTACAGGACAGAAAAGTTTTGCCACATTTTACTGTCATGTGAATGTTAGTTTGGGCAATCAGGAAATAAGCTTTAAAATTCTGTTAAAAAAGGGAAAGCCCTAGAAAGAAGAAACTACCTATTCTACTACAAAATCTCAGAAGAGAAGGTAGGGGTTACAGCAAGAAAAAGAATTACATCAAATACATACAAAGAGGCTTCGTCCAGGAAGAGAGGCGAGAGGTCCCAGCAGAGCTGGGTAAAGATCAGGAGGGTTAGAAAAAATCAGCTCTTCCTCTTCCTCCAAGGCAGCCAGACTCTTTAACAGGTCCGGAGGAAGCAGAGGGGAGCCTTTGGGGTCCTAGTGACAGAAAGGATCACAGTGAGATGCAATCAGGGATGACAAAAGCACAGTGGAGTAGTAGCGTCATTAGGGAGATGAAGGCAGCTAAAGACAAGGAGGAAGCTGTAAGGAATAGTAAGACAGCATTATGCAAAGAGGAAAAGGCTTCGAAACACCAAAGCAAAGTGACACAAGGACAATGGGAAGGACAGATCAAGAGAACAGAAAGAAGTAAAGACAGTGACAAACAGCAGAACATAAAAGGTTAATGTGGACAGCCAGTGAAACAACGCAAGGGAGCAAAGAGATCAGCGTATCTTGTGCTAACAGAGAAACAGCTTTTTTTAAAAAGTTACCAACACACACCTGTTTCTCATGAGTAAAAAGGGCAAAGACAGGGAACTCCACTATCAAAGATGATGGCTAAATTTGTTCTTCTCAGAAAGCCACTTGCTTAAATATGCAGTAAAACCTATTTTTAAATTTAGATGATTCAGCCCGAGAGGAGCTTTGTCTCAGAATTCTCTAACATGCTGCCTTAAAGATTTCTGCACATAGTCTCTCTGCCAGACCATCAGGCGTCAACATCAGGAACAGCATTCTTCAGCTTCCCCAAATCTATGTGGTGTGAAGAGGGGACCAAGAGCTGCACCCACTTACTCAGTGGCGTTCTGTAGCACTAATGAAATCAGGGGGACCTTTAAACACATACGTGAGATCTTGAAGTGCCTGGGGACAGGGAAGGACACGCACCTCAAACGGCATCCTGGGCACAGGGTCCTGCTCTGGACGGAAGACTCCCGGGGACCGTTTGCCCCTGCGGTCCACACTGGCTTGCTGTGCCATCACAGCTCTGTTATCTGCCGCACTGTAGGAAGAATCCCAGTAGAACTCCGGGATCTTGACTTCTGAGGGGGTATGGTTATATGGCTCCATGGGGAAAGGCTTCATTGTTTTCTCCAGAGGCTGCTGCTGCCTTACAGGAGGTTGCAACGACGGCTCAAACAGTTTTATGGGGTCTTGGGTTTGAAGGTAGTAGGGCTGTTTCACAGGCATGATTTTCCCTAATGGGCCTTGAACCTGAGGGGGATTCCACAGCTGTTTGGAGGCATCTGCCTGTTGATACTAAAAAAAGAGATGCCTGGTTCACTAAGATGAGGATAAAATGTAATGTTACTTTACTCAGGACTCAGAGAGAACCTGAGAGATTTTACCGCCAACAAAACTCTGGGTCATGCAGGTTTGTTTGTTCTTTAGGTTTTTCAATACAGAGCTTTCTGGGAACAGATTAAGGGCACTGAGTTCATATTCTCTTTCAATTCCAATATTAAGAGGTTTAATAAATGAGGGTGTTGAGGGTGGGTGGGTGGGCGGGCATGCATCCATTTCCCCTTCTGCTCCAAGTGCTGCAGGATGATAATACTTAAGACTGGTGTCACAGTTCTCTTAACATCTCATCAAGAGCATGATTTTATTTCCCTTCTGTAGTTCAGGTTTATGGGAAATTGTTTACAGAAAATCCCTTTCTATAAAGCTGACAAGCAGTAGCAGCAAGGTATGGTAGGTAATATCTATTCTCCTTTACAAAAGTAAAAAGAACTGAACTTTCCTAAACAGCAAAGACTGCTGTGTTCCCATAATCATTACAAGTCTAAGCAAAAAGTAGCTGGTTTTTTTTTTAAAATTGGAGGATGACTGCATTACACTGTTGTATTGCTTTCTGCCATACAACCTGAATCAGCCATAGGTATACATCCGTCCCCTCCCTCCCATGTCCCACCCCCGCCCCGCCCCGCCCCATCCTACCTGCCCACCCCATTCCACCCTCACCAGGTTGAGCTCCCTGTGTTATAAAGCAACTTCCCATTAGCTCTATTTTACTGAGGGAGGTGGATTAACTAGTACTTTTAGTTAACTTGACACTGAATGATTTCAGGTGCTCCTCTCCTCACCTCAGCTGTAACTCACCTGCTGGAATCCAGAGTGGTGAGGCGGACTTTTCCCCAAAGCCGGCACAGCTTTTGTAGGGGACTGTTGCTGCTGAGCTAGAGCTTGAACCTGCAGCTGGCTTGCAGTCTGTGCTGTTGGCGGAGCTGGTAGAGGTGGGAGGGGCTGCTGGGAAGGTGGCTGAGGCTGTTGAGGTCCCTGGGTCACTGGCCCTGGTCCGGAGGGCCGTTGCTGGCTGTAAGGAATGTGGGACTGTTTCCCAGCTTGCACCTGGTTTCCTGCTGGAGAGTGAGCTGTAGGCTGAAGAAAGGTTCCTGGGACAGAAACACCAGCTGGGAAGGTGTAACCTGAGCCCATAGAAAATGCCACAGGAGGGGGGATAACATATGTTGGGGGCGGGAACCCTTCAAAATAGAAGAACATTGTTTTAGTTCTAAGGAAACTTAGAAAATGAAAGACAAAAATTAGTCATTTGGGGCTGGGGTGGAGAAGAGGTTATCTAATAAATCATGAAAGACAGGGATCCATCAAGTAAGACTCATCAAGTGTCAACCTTTAACCTGATTTCAAGAATTAAATACAGATTACTGCCTGCTACTTCTATCCATTGAGGCAACTGGAATGTCCTAAAGGTTTCTCAGATGCCATGTTTAGTGACAGGAATTCCTTCATAATAACAAGCATGCATTTGTACATAAACTACAGGTAAATGGCTTAAAAATAACTGAAATATCAGGGAAAAGAGAACTTCTTTATACTTTCTAATATTAGGGGTTTAGTAATGTCCCTCAGAGTCTAGAATTTCTCAGCAGGTGAATAGACACTCCTACACAGATGGAATTCAACAGACGACATTACAAAACATATATTTACCTGGCCGGCTGGGAAGAGGAGGGAAGGCTCCAGGGTGATGAATGGGGATGAACTGGGAGTTACTTGCTTGACTTGGGGTTTGAGTTACAGGTGTTTTCCTGGCTTCAGACACTGGAGTCTTTCTTAACTCTGTCTGAGATTTTACCTATGACCAACCAGAAGCAAGACTATCTATAATAATCTGAAACGCAAATGAGACAGAAAGCAGCACCTACTCTAACAAAGGATTTAAAACCCTATACTATGTTAAAAAAAAAGAGTAAAGTACATGCTGAAGATAATTCACTTCACCTAAATTAAAAATGGGAAAATAAAATTATTTAAATAGCCCAAATAGTTTTACTTGTATAGTTATTTTGCTTTCACAAAATCACAGAAGTATGAAATATGGAAAAGGCCTGAGAACTCATTTGTTTTACAAAGGAGACACCCGATGCCAACAGGCTGAAAAAGTTGCCTATTATCATAAGCCAATGTTATGGGCCCCAGGACCCTGTATTCTCATTCATTAAGAACATACATGAATTTATAATGACCACTAGCTCACAGATGAGACACTCTGGCCCTCAGTGTAACTTCATCTGGGAGGCTTTAAAGGTGGCCTCAGTGTAACTTCATCGGGGAGGCTTTAAAGGTATCAGTCAAGCATCCGCCCTCCACCCTGCAACCCTACCACCCCCAGAATAAATGAGGATACTTTCAGCAGTAAAAATATCAGGCCTGAGATCCCACACATGGAGCCAGAGAAGCAGATGCCATAATGCACTGCTCAAGTAATACAAAGATGAGTAAAATGAGGAAAACTGGCAGCATTTAATAGAAAACTTAGGATGAGGTACAGAGGGTGGTGATACATTGATTATTGTCATGGTTTTGTAAATCATAGATACTCAGGCTTAAAGGGGATGAGACACTGGAAGAGATTTCATTTTCCTGGACCTTTCTGGGAGGCGGTTTCAGAGAATGAAGGCAGAGCAGGCAGGAAATAGCTGAACTCTTTACCCCTAAAACACTGATCTCTGGCTTTACAGTTCTTTTGGGGTTTTTTCCTCGCCTTTCCCCAACACATCTCACTCTCTCTGTGCCTTTCCTCAATTTCTACCATGTTTTTCTCTGTTTCTCCCCCTACTATTAACATTAAAATGGAACTATTATGTTCTTTCTCCAAAAAAACCTTGTAAGGGAAATACACTATAGACTACTGTTTATCTGAAAGTAGCTTTCAAAAATGTAAGATTCCTCATGCCTACTGTAAATAAATACACTTGCCAAAATGTGTTTAATGAATCAAATGGCTACAAACTTTGGTGGTATTAATAAGACCAGCACAGAGTAAAGACCTTTTTCTGTTTATATGAAATCATCTGTATCTCTTTGGAAAGATACATACATATATATATATATAAACAAGTCACAAATAACTGAGTAGTGTTTATCTTTCCCCAGCAGGAGACTTGGATTCTTGCTTTACAAATTCCCATGAGCCAGGATAACACTGAGGTTACACAATGCTACTGACTGGGGCAGAGAGAAATGTCAAGGAAAATCTTTTTCCAAAAATGTATTTCATTTTGTATAGTGAATCTGGGAAAACAAAACAAAACAAAACACCACTGTGTAAGCCTTAACATACTCAGCTCTGTGGGATCTATAGAGATCTCTAATTTTAAAAAAATCGCAGTTATAGCTCCCAAAGAAAATAGAATTATTTGTGAAATTGATAGTTCTGCAGCTGGTCTCATTTCCTACCACTTAAACTGGAGAGAACTGACAAAGATGTCCAATCCGGTTAAGATTTTTTCACTCACATTACAATTTCTGAGAACTGACAAGAGTATAGATCTACCGTAGTTCTCCATATCACCGTACTACGCAGCCCTCGTAGAGTGCACTGAAGCTTCCAGAAGAGCCAGCTCTCAAGGGTTTAGGAGCGAAATGCAAGTCTGGCCTTCTGTGCGAGCCCGCCCCTGCCTGCCTTGCCGCTCACGCGCAGCTTGCCTGCACTGCCCCCGCCCTGCGCCCGTTGCCCGTGACTCTTCTAAGGCGCAGCCCTTGGCTTCTGCTCTCCTCTTGGTGTTGTCCCCCTCTCCATCATTCTTAGTCACAGTGACTGCTCTGCTACAGCCCCTTCTCACCTCTTTGGGAGGGAAACTTCTTCCTTGGTCTCTGTTCACTTCTCGTGGCTTAATGTTCTCTTTGAAGGTGACCACTGGTTTCTCTCCTGTGTCACAGTTGTTGCTTAGATTTCGGCCTGTAGACAGCACTGATTTCAGTCCTGGATTCCCATCAGCAGCCAGGGACTCTATGATGGTTGTGTCTTGCAGAATGAGGTTCTCTTTGGCTTCACTGGGGTCTTCCAGTATTAACTCTGGGATTTCTGTGATAAACAACAATTTCCCTACCTCATTTTCACACTGAATCAGCCTAAAAAAGTAAAAATAAATCCATATATGAAAAACATAAATCTAAAAAACAGTAACAGCTGAACTTTGTATGGGTCCCACAGCCTTAAAATGTGGGAAACAGCAGGATGCAACAGTGTGGACTTGGGGAACATAAACAGCAGTTCTGTAGAAACTCACTTTCTTATTATCCCACCACACATCACCACAACACACGCCAAGTATAGCTACATTTGCTCAGCATGTTTTAAGCACAAGACACTAGACTAGGCCCTTGAAGTTCCTATTTTATAGGTGTGAAAACTGAAGCTCAGAGATGCCACAAGCATCATCCTGGTCTGTCTTGACTGAAACTGACCACCATGCATGCCCCTATCAACACAAATCACCAAAACTGTGAGCATACAATTTAGCTAAGATTTATATAGATGTTTATAAATTGGAGAAGCAGCTCATGATAAATAAGGCAGACCTCTAAAAGAGGCAGTGTAACGAGAGGACAGAGATTAAAGACATTCCAAAGATCACTAGGGTCATAATCTGATGCTGTGTTCCCAACCTTTTGACCAGAGTTTATATATAAAAAAAAAGTTTATAATCAATAGCTTTATACCAAAGTGTAAAACTCATATGGGGTATGTGTATATATCTGATGAGGAATACCTTGGCTGATTATCTGCAATCCATTTGCCTATAGAGATCAAACGCTGCTGTCGTATTTGTCGTTGCTGACCCTCTTTGTCTCCTGTAATACCCTGATGACCTTTGGAAAAATCCAAGTTCCTAAAATTGACATAAGCAAATTATAGAAAATTAAACCTGATGAACTGCAATGGCTTCAGATTTCTCCATATAGGTTAGCTATTTGCTGTAATTAGCTGCATTTGCTTGAACTTATTTATACTCCTAAAGACTAAATACCACCAAACAAAGCAATATTAATGTGATATTTTTATTTATATTTCACTTTCTCATGGAGGAGCTGAAATAAATCACAATGTTTTATTAGGGATGACTTTTTTTTAAAAGAAGAATAAAGTTTTCGTTTAACAGTAAGCTCACATGGTAAGTAACTTACTTCAAACAACCATAGCAATGCTAGAGTCTCTGAGATATCTAGTCTAACAGAGTATTATCTATTAACCTCAAGGTGGCCCAACCCAAATCAGAAAAAAATGAACACATACCATAAAGTGTACAGAGCAAAAAACTCATTGACATTAGAAAAGTAAGTCAACCTAAAAAATAAGGGTTTTTCAAATTTTTCATTAAGCTATCTCAAAAAAAAAAAAAAAAAAAGCAGGAGCAGTATTGAAGAACTTCCAGGCAGTAGGTCAGAAACCGAGGATACAAAGATAAATAAGTCCCCCTACCTTAAGGAACAAATAATTATGATTTAATCCAAAGAAATAAAAGCTAAACAAAGAATAAGAGAAGCATTATAAAAGAAACATTACAGTCTTCTGATAAGCTTTGAAAAGGTTCACAAAGTAAGAGATACCTGACCTGGACCCTGGACAAGTATGGTTACGAGCTTATAGATTAGTAAGGGAAGGACAAAAGAGGAATGTGAATGTTCCAGGCACAGCATGAACAAAGTTTTGGAGGAATAAAAATACAGAGCTATTCAAGTACAGGTCACAGCTTATGTATGACGTGTAACTATTGGAGGGGAAGGGGGTGATAAGTCGCAGGAAATATGGCTGAAAAACTAAGCTTTTGGACATCAAGATAAAAAAGATACTTTAACAACTAGGGATGTGTAAATTGAAGTTTTCTGTACTAGTAATGGGGCATCATCAAATCTGTACTTTATAATTGCAGAAGCAGAGTAAAAGTGAACTAGGTAAGGAGAGAACTTTTAAGTAGGGAAGCACATTAGGAAGCTTTTTTATACTCTAGGTAAACAAGTGACGAAGGCCACCTACCTGAAAGAAGGTCTCAAAGCCAAGAATCCTTGTAACTCAAACTCCTCTGGAAGTGGTGTTGCTAGAGAAGGGCAGAAATCAAGACTTGTAAATATTTTAATTAAAATATTATTGTTCAGCAGGATATTGCTTCCTATATTAAAAAAATAATATTTTCTAGGTAGAAAGATTAATGCTCCTAGTTCTCTGTTCCTCTTTATAGTTACTGTGATAAAAAAACTTACCTGTCCAGCCCCTACCTGTGGCCTCTGAGCCCATGACATTGCCCTCATACTCACCTACGACTCAAGGCTGAGAAGGATAGGTATGATGGACTATTTTTTCCCCTAGCAGCCTTAAAAATTCATAGCTCAATCCATTAA